GCCTGCAGGGATGGGGCATCCACAGCCTCCTTGGGCAACCTGTTCCAGTGCATCACCACCCTCTGAGTGCAAAACTTCCTCCTACTATTTAACCTAAACCTCCTCTGTCTCAGTTTAAAACCATTCCCCCTTGTCCTATCACTGTCCACCCTCATAAACAGTCATTCCCCAAATATAAGCCCATGGGGTTGAAGACATATAAGAGTGTTATTGGTGAAGTTATCCCTCTTGAGAGCAAAAGGTTATTTCAAATCTGCAGTGAATTTAATGGTAACTTTATTTCTTTTTGAGTGTTGAGCTTTTTCCCTATAAGTGGTCTTTGAAGTAAAAGTTGCAGAAATGGTGCAGAACTTGTCATTTTCATCAATACAATTTCTAGTTGTGTGTATATATGTATGAGCATGCATACTTTTTTTAGAAGCCAAATTATCTTTGTTTCATTATGTCAGAAAATCCAAATTTATGGCAAGTCCTGTATGGTTACAGTCTGAGAAATGTCCTCTTCATCTGCCCTTTATTCCCAGTGAAAAAAACCCTTATTTTTCTGAACAGAACAGTAATGTTGTCACAACAGTGGGCCATTTTTCTTTCTATACAGACATTCTTTATTCCTTCTGATATTTTGGGATTTGTATTGTTTCCCTTTGGCTTTTCAGACTGTACACCCTCTTTCTTTCCCTATACCTTCTGCATTAAACATCTTTTTTAATCCCACTACTTCAATTTCATTACTTTACAATATACTGAAGAATCTGGCTTTGGTAATTTTCTCTCCCCAAACCAGGAATGACTTCTTCCTGGCTACCTGACAAGGGTGAAAATTTTCAAAGCAACTTAATCTTCTAAATTAAATCTGCTTATTTTAAAGCCTTTCGTCTGTCTTCATTCTTCTTGATTTGTCTGCTGCTTTGTCAGCATGTGAACCATTAGCACTGTACTTCCCCCAAGATTTAAGAATTTTTTTTTATTATTTTGTTCCTCCTGTGATCTTCCAGTGGTTTCTGTGGTACTTCCTTTGCCATTGTATTATACAAATTCTTCTTTTCTCTGATTATATAATATATATATAAAATATTAAAAATATTATAGGAATGATCTATAAATAATAATATTTGGGGCAGTGAATATTAATCATGAAAAAAAGTGGTATATGTAATAGAAGAAAGGATACAAGATAACAGAAGTATGAATACGGCTGCATGCAATAAAATGAGATTACCAAGTTTACATGGTCACAAATTAACTTTAAAAACAATTATAACCATTTTAATTTTGATTATGCCTGCATGCAGGTTTAACTGTCTTTAATTCTGTGGAATAAATGCACTCCAAACGTCCTACTGAGGTTAATTTATCATAGTGTTCCATGAGCATTTATAAGAATGTCTTCTGTATAAATGCAAGTAAGATGATCTATGAAATCATTCTGAGTTTAGGACAAGTAAGATACTGAGTCATTGTAAAGCACATAAAACTACTGAATCAGAGTGCTGTAACAGCAGTAGCAGTTGTTCATGAAAGGAAAGAAGCAGGACATATACAGTAATTCTTCCTCTTTCATAATTTCATAACACTTAGTAATTTTTGGACTTTATAGACTTCCTAAGTTGAAGAACTGGAGATGTTGTGTTTTGCAGTACATGACACATCTGTTCTTAATGAAATTGTTAGATACCTTTTTAGACATTAATACCTCAGTCTCCTACACAGCCTTTGGAAATACTTTCCAAGTCTTAGCGACAAGTTACAAAAAAAACCCAATGACCACTTTTTGCTTGATAATCATTTCCTTAGTTCCTTGAGTTCTCATACTACGTAAATTATGAGAGCTGCTCTGAATGTAATGCCTCCTATTTTATTATTGACCCATGACAACAGAGGCAGATGTTGGTGGTATGGTAATAGAAGCTGAACCTTCCCACCATTATCTTGTTCCATTCTGTTGCTGTGTGACAGATGGCAGTAGAGGGGCAGTCTGACAGAATGGTGGTGTGGAAATGTGGAAGTACGTATGAAACAAAGGTAGTGTCTATGAATTCCTCCATGTGAAAAAAACATGACACACACTGACATTTATCGACCCTCAGTCAACATTTATGGAAACTGAACAGTGGATGTGAGCAGAGTGAGGTGGTGGGTGGTGCATTTCAGCAGTGGCAACAGCAACAGTGGTCATCTCCGCTGGTGCAGATTGTTACGAGCACGGCATTTAGGCTCTTGTTCATTGCTGGAGAGAATGCATAGCTTCTGGTGGTAACTGTGATGAAAAACTGTTTTGTAAATGAGAATTTGCTCTATCAAAGTGTTCTTGAGCTCTTTGTTGTAGTTTCCAAAGAAGTAAGTAAGAGGCATTACTTTCAGAGCAACATTTGTACCTAATAAATAATGAGAGCATATTGTGGCTTCTCTCTCTCTCTCTGCCACCCAATCTTGCCAGTATTTTAGCATATAATGCATTTTGTCTTCTTTCATGTGTCATATTCTTTCTTGAAGTTTGTTGCTAGAAACATGTAAAGAGAATATATAGATTAATCATCGTGCATATACGTACATATGCGTACCTTCCAACTTTGTTTTTGTAGCACTGATCATTCATGTGACCATCAGTATATAATTTAACTCTTTGGATCTTGAAGTACTCAGAGTGGATAATTAATAAGAACTTGGGATGTAGGAATTTCTGTTGTTTGTATGCATTAATTAGTGATGTTTGGTGCCATAATTTTGTAGCCAGGACATTTGTGTGCCCACCAGACTCCTTTATAGTTGTTTCTGCAGGTGCTGTTGTCTTCTGTCATATTTACCAGCCCTCTGCTGATGCTTTTGACCAGAGGGCATCTTGGTAGGGGTAACCATCAGGGACAGGGAAGTGATTATCTTTCTCTACTCTGCCCTTGTGAGGCCCCATCTGGAGTACTGTGTCCAGGTCCTTGAGGTCCCTTCCAGTCCAGGTCATTCTATGATTCTATGATGCTCTGATCTCAGCTGGCAGCAGATAATTCTTTGTGAGAAACTGAACTGAGGTCTTGATTTTGGGAGAGGAGAGTGAGGGAGTACCGAGGGGATTTCCACAATTGATACTGCTAAAGACAAGAGCAGCATAAATAGATGTTACTTGAAAATATCAAGATTTTCAGTAGTCTTTGGTAATCAATGCAGTTGTTGTTGCTTAATGGCATTCTGCAACACCTGGTTACACGGTTGAACTAGGAATGAGAACAGATTTGAAACACAGCATTTTGGGTGGGCTTTTTCCTTGCTTAATCTGTGTATAATGTCGTGCTAGATAATAAGAAATAATCTGGTGGCTGAATTTGCGCAAATAAGATTTCTGAGTCTGCTGAAACCTGGAAATTCCTGAAGAATGCTGATTGTTGTTGGAGCCAGGGTTATATTATGATTTAATGGCTTTTCTGGGCTTCATTTGATGACCTGGCCTAGAAAAACATTTTGAAGTAATAAAGCGTCTGTTTGGCTCCAAACTAATGAGAGAAGCATTGCTCTTTGCATTAACTGTTCTTTAGGAAGAGTCACAGATAGCTACTAATAAACCTTATTAAAATGCTTAAGCAAGATTGAACGAAATAGAAAACGGAGAAACTATTCCCTTCCATTTGAAGTATATACGTTTAAAAAAAAAAAAAAAAGAGGAAAAGAAAGCAAACCCAAAGGGTTTTGCCTCTATTCCATGTGACTTGCAGCTTGCTGCACTTCAGTTGCATTGCCTCTGAGATACGTTAAGTGCAGCTCAGTTTAATGAAGAAGTGGATAGAACAAATCAAGGCTAGAGACTATTTGCAGCAGACACTGGGTAAGTAAATGCAGATGTAGGTGAGTGCTTGCTAATGTTGTGCAAATGTTATTATCCATAGCCTGTAGCATTTCAAGCAGCGCTGAGGGATGGCATTTTTTGGTGGTCCTTTCTTTGTTTTATTTAAGTAATCTGCAAGTGTGGGTTGTAGGTGCTATGCAGTGGGTTTAGGTGTGATAGAGATTACACTTAATTTTTTCAGACATCCTACAAAAAAAAAAAAAAAAAAAAAAAAAGCCAACTACAAATAACTTCCCTCTAATTTCGTGTACCTGTTTTGTTTTAAATTCTTTGCTGTGAAAGTAACTGCTTAATCTATTTTTGTGCAGTGCTGAAAATAATTTCAGTGGGAGTTTGCTGATGATAGTTTCTGATGCCTTGCTGGTATTTTAATTATTTTCCTACTGGTGAGGGAAAGGAAGAAACAGCTTCTGCTTTGAATAAACCTCCTAGATAGAACATTTTCAGAATTCTAGTATCTAAAGCCAGACCACTGAAATCTCTTCAGCATCAACTTGCTCCAGGAATTTATTCGACTGCTCCAGTAGGATTGTAGGATTTGATTTCAGATGTTTGCATTTGTTCTCTGTGTCTCTCTATAGAGATTTGTATGTGTTCCTAGACTTTATATATAAAGTTCTGGTTTAACTGTTCGTATGTATAAAACTGTGTGAGTTTATTGTCAATATTTGATGTTGGGAAGTACAATGAAAGCTTTTATTGTTGTTGTTTTAAGTCTTCCGGGCTTTTGGCTTTTAAGTATGTATTTATTTGTTTGGTGTCCCGTAATTTGACTGGACCTTGCAACTGGACCTCTGTAACTGTTATGAACTAGGATTGCAATCTTAATCAATTACTGATTTCTAGAACAGTTCTTTTATTGGTTTCAGTGCCTTCTGTTTGAGTACTTAAGCACCAGTGCACTAAGAGCTGAGAAGGAGGCACGATCAATAGATGTTGTAAAAGCCTATATTGAAGCCTGATGAGAAGCTTAGGAACTGCAGAAGGAAAAACAAACTCTTTTGTGATTGGTGGAGTAGTAACGAAAATATTACTGTTAAGTGCTGAACGTCTTGTGGTCTGGGGTGTGTCTTCCTTTTGCATCATCTCATGGAAAATGTTGCATTAGGTACTGTATTCTGTCATGGGTTTTGCCATCTGGAATCACCAGAATGCCAATCTTTTTCAGATAATCACTCCGTTTAGGAGGCTGATACTGTGTGCTGAGAACAGAAAAGAAATGGAGGACTGGATAAGCTCTCTGAAGTCCGTACAGTCCCGGGAACACTATGAGGTAAGTTGAGCTCCCTGTTGGTGCTACCTGCTCCAGCTGAACAGATCAAGCAACAGGACACAGAGCTAGAGTAGCTCACCTTTCTTGGTGTGAAAAGTCTACGTAGTGTCAGGATAAAGCTTCACATTAAGAGCTTGCTACGGGATTCTTGTGATACTTTTGTCTAGAAGTTTGGAGGTAGAGCAAGCTAAGTATCCCTGTGAAAAATCTTATCGCTAACATTGCACTGTCCCCTGTAATGTGGAACGGTAGGTAATTTCAGTCACCGTAGCTGTGTTCTGTACTTGCAAATTTGTCTTAACTTCTCCTTTACTAGACGGCACAGTTTAATGTGGAACATTTCTCAGGGATGCATAACTGGTACGCCTGCTCCCATGCCCGACCCACCTTCTGCAACGTGTGCAGAGAGAGCCTCTCTGGAGTCACTTCTCACGGCCTGTCCTGCGAAGGTAAAATGAATGCTTTCTTCCCTCCTTTTATAATGCTGTGTACACATCTAAATTACCGACAGCTTAAGACAAATAATGATTCTGAAAATAATGAGTTAGCAAAAAGCCCAAAGGGAGAAATCTGTTCACTAGAGTGACTCTCTCTTGGGCAGAGTGGCTACTAATGATATGGCTCACCCTCTTTGTGCTCCAGGTGCCTTTTTCTGACTCACTTCAATAAAATATTTCCTTCTGCTGCAGCTACCAGTTTGAAATGTGCTTGCCTGGGTGGATGGTTTGCAAGGAAAGATAGGATTTCTTTGATTTGCACTTGAAAAATGCAGATGTGTAGCAAAATAGTCTTACTGGTGTGCAGAATCAGCATTCCTCAGGAAAAAAAAAGTCATAATGGTAGTTTCTGCCCCACGTCTATAAAAATTATTAACGCTTAGTTCTGCACTGAGGAGAGGTTTATTGCTTTGAAAATTCTGTCATGAAATGAGGGGGTAGGGATGTTAAATGCCTTTGCAGGTTATGGTTAAACAAATCCAGGAGAAACAAACAGGAGGTGTGACTAAAACTTCAGATTTAAGCTGATCTGGAGAAATGATCTTTTGCAAACAAGTATTTGTAATAAACCTGAAACAGCTTATGTATTTCCTGCTGCAAGTACTCTGAAAAAGCTGTGGTAAGTCTGCTAGTGTTAAAATACAGGAGAAAAGAAAGCATAATTGTGACCTTATGATGTATACGAAATGTAGAGGCAAGTTTTAGTGTCACTTTTTTTGCTATGTATGAAATACTTAATTACAAATAGATAACTATTCAGAAAGGAGTAACTTATTACTGCATTCAAGGCTTCATTGTTGGATGCATGTCAGCATACTGCAAATACATTTCTTTTATCAATGCTGTTATGATACTGAAGGTCTGTGTATGATTATGTGCATTAATATTATCAAATACCTCTAGGTAACTAATGGTGCAGTTATCAAGGAACTGTAGAGACCCATTTCATAGAAATTGGAAGTAGCATAATTACATCCACCTTCTCTGGTATATGTTTTCTGCTGTGTGTAAGTCATTTGGACAATTTTGAAGCAAGTATGGTATTTCCTATGTCTGATACTGGCAGATGGAAGTATTGTATGCTTAGCTAAAATGCAGTTGTATTGCCTCTATGTGCAAGTACACCTATATTTAATCAGGAAAAGGAAAAGAAAGGCTCCTTTCCCTTCATAATGTATTTATCCTTTTGTAAGTTAATATTATAGCTATTTTAGAAGGTTGATTAGTGGGAGTTATTCTTATAAGATCATCAATATTAATGGTCGTAGCTCATCATTTTTCTAAATGTTTTCAAAGTGTGGTTTTAGTGCTTCTAAGTATAGTTCTTATTTCCAAGGGGTTGATGTTAACTTGAAGGTAATTTCCAGATTTGGACTTTGTCACCTGTCTGCATAAGTTATTACAAACTATTGTTACATTTATTCACTTTTCTGGCTCCAATTGATCTTTCATCATTCACCAATGACTCTTAATGATAGATTGGATTGGCTTCTCCTTTGCCCTCAGTTTCATAAACATTTTTGTCCTGGATTGTTTTAAATATAGACATTATGATATTCATCTATCTGTTAAGAAGTTTACCTCCACTTTCTTCTTAGCTACTAGTTAGTATCTATTTTATCTTTTTTCCCCCCAGTATTTTTAAAAATAAAAGAAGTACCATTATTATCCATCTAATCTAAATCAGTTGATGGTTGGCTTTTGTCTTGGAATACTCTTACTTCTTCCCCAGTTCCATGGAAACCTGTTCATGTAAAAAGGTACTTCAGTTTGATGCTAGTTCTTCCTCTGAAAATGTTAGGTGACTTGAGATCGTGTTTACTTGCTTCTGTCCTGTGCACTTCTGATGCAGTTGACCATCTATTTTTTACTTGTCCAGTGCTAGCAAATATATATTGTTTGAAAAAATGATGTAGTAGGTATTGAGACTTAATATTCCCTTGACATGTTCTGTTCTACTTTTTCTCATTGCGTCTTTGAAATAAACCTGTTTAAATATTCATGCCTGACGTCTGAAGCCTCCGATGTTGCTTTACTCTGGGAATCCATTTATATCTATACTAAATTCAATTATATGTGTGGTCATTGATCCCGAGCCTCTCTATTATCTCATGTGTTGAAAAGTATGAGAGGCTTCTTCTTGAGAGATATTGAAACTCTTCCTCCTTTCAGTGGTTTGGGTTACTGGCACACCAAGTTATTTTGAAAGTAGCTTGGAGACTTTGTACTCTTTTGGCCTGACTCTTGACTACTAGCTATTGGTAAAAATAAAAACCAGTTTCATTCTAATGTTTTGCTGTTTACGATACTTTGGAAGATTAGTCCTCTGATATTTTATTCTCTTAGATCTGCTACCCAAATGACCCAATATTCTCTTAGATCACCACTACCCAAATGCTTTTTCAAACCTGACTGCACAAGCTTAATTTCTTTTGGAAATAAGGTGGGTGCCTTCTTTTTTCAGCACCTCTTCCCTTCCAACAACCTTTGGCAAAAGTTGACCAAAATAATTGCAGGCCACTCTGAGGACACCCCTGTAAGTTTGGTGTAAGCCAGTGTTGGGAAGCAGAGTGCGTTAATGCCTTTAGTGCGGGGACTGAATATAGTGTGAACTTACGTCTCTTCAGAAGTCAAGGAATTGATACTTTTGTCAAACTGAAGATGTAAATTCATATCAAACTATCAAACTAGGCTACATTCCTTTAACTGCTAAAAAAAAAAAATTAAATTTATTTGTCCACAGTTGTACAGTGCTGTTTCTCCCACCAATCTCTTTTTCTATGTCTTCTCAAAAGAAAATGTACTTTTCAAGTGTTGTGTGTGTGTGATGTTGATGAACAAAGATTTTCCTCTAGCTATCTAAAGAAATGATCTTCCTCTACGTTCATCCTCAGTCTTTACCAGGACAAGGAGATTAAATATTTGCTTTCGAAATTGTCCCAAACAATCTGAATTAAGTAAGGCTTTTGTTCTTTATGCTCCACAAATGTTTCTGTTATTTAAAGCTTAGCTTGATTGTAGGCTCAGGAGTCTAAGAGGTCGTCAGGCAAAGTTATGAATACATGTAATGCTTTGGTCTATAGGTCTAGATCACTATCTACAGAAACTCTTTCAAAGCTCTTAAGCCTCAATTACTCTGTATTAACACCACTTTTCTGTCCAAGTCTTTGATAGTGGATTGCAGGCTTTTTATACGTATTTTCTTTGTATTGTTTAATTGTCGTGACTGAATCTTGATTGCAGAATATACATAATAAGCTGAAGACTGCAGTTTAAATGAGATGCTTTCCACTATGATGAATTGCACAGACAAAGCAATGTTGAAAGAACACTTGAGGATCATGATTCAAGCAATAATAAAACACGGGGATTAAATTATCTCAGTAATTGCACTTCGTGCACTTGGTCTTCTTTTGTTGACAGAACTCTTTTCTTCTTACCCACTGCACAGGGCATTGCACATATGCTAGTTGGATGTTCATCATTTCCAGGATTTTTGCCACATTTTCTAAAGACTGTAGAGTGAATAGTGAGTGAAGCTACCCAGAAGAGAAAGGACATTCATAAAGAATTAAGCTATAACAAAAACCTTTTATTCTGTATTCTGTATTCTATGCCTTTGCATCACACTATATCCCTCTGTAATCCTGGGAAAATCACGTAAATGATATTTTGGATCAAATCAGTAGCTATATGTTTTTTATTTTCTGGACACCTCAGCTGATAATCCGGGACCTATATTACATCAGTGTTGAATGTTGAGTAGCTGCAGAAATCAATTGAAGCTGTGTTTTGAAGAAGTGCATACAAGATAGATAAAATTGAAAAAACAGGTCTTCATTTCATTCTTGATAACAAAAATTAGTGAATGCCATTGTCCTTAAACTCTGCTGGCTTCACTTACTTCTTTATTTAAATAGGTACAAAACCAAACCCATATTTTGGCAGTACACTGAGAAAATAAAGGTGCATTTTTCAGCATTCAAAAAATGTAGTACTGAACATAATTATTAAACAGAAAGGCTAGAAAGAAATGAATGTTTATGTCTAAAAACAGTGTTTAATTAGCTTTTGTTAAATAAGACAAATACCTGTTGAAGGCTGCTATGAACAAGAGTGTGGTACGGCTGCATACTTGACAAGAATCATCCATTCCGTGAAGTGAATGAAGGTCCTCTTCTCAAAAAGAGTTTGATCATATAACCGAAGGCTTCACACCTGCATATGGAAGCTAAACTAAAGTTGCATGACTAACTTAATTTTGTGGTCCTCGAGTTTTTAATATGAATATTCTTTTAGTGCTGCCTTTGTAAAATAAATTAATTTAGTTACTGGCATGAAAATAGTAAAAGCTATCAAGAACCTATTGAATTTTATCCTTTATAACAGAAGCATAGTCTGCAACTAGGAGTGAAGTTAGGTTGCTGTTCTCGTATGAATCTCTCCATTTTCCCTGAGGTTTTTCAGTCGTCCATGTGATCACAGTTTTGGAAACAAAACATCAGGTTTCATGGACTGCTCTCCAAGATAAATCCTTCCATCTCGACAATGTGCAAATACCAGCTCACGGTTCTTCAGATCAGTTTCAAGACTTGAGCTTTAGCTTTTGAAGCTGGAAAAGTACAGTCGGAGCTTCTTGGTTTTTGAAGAATACAGATTAGAAAACTCATCATAAAATAGGTGGCAGAGTGGTAACTTTGGCAGGACACGCAATGCCTTTTCCCCAGTGTAACTGAATTAATTGATGGGTGGACAGAATGGAAGGCCTTTGAGACAGAAGTGTTTGTTTGATAGCAAAGATCTCTATTTTGATTGCAAGAGATTCTATGATGACATTCAGTAATGTTGACTTTTCTTCATTATAGATAATAATAGCTGCAGATTTAATCACTGTCTGACAGCAGATGTTGGTGCAACTGTGACAACTGTTCGCTAATTAAGTGGTTCTTTCGGTTGGTTTTCAGAGAGATTGGCTTCATGTTCCAGCTAGAAATATTTACACAGGAAATTAAAAAGTGAAATGGTGTTCTACAAATAGTCTAGATTCTGATGGGCTATTTTTCTCCTTTTCTCATCATTTACATTTCAGTGGCAAAGTAATGGCAACTGGTGCTTAGCAACATGCCTGCATGTTTCCAGAAGATTTCAGATATCAAATTAATCCATGAATGTAATCCAGTATCTCCTGAGATAAAAGAAATTAGAGAGCAGCTGTTGAGATTTGATTTGAAATGTCCCTTCTTATACCCCTCTTTCCTGCACAGTGATGTGTTTTTCTTGAAATTTCCACCCGTGCCTTAAGATCACTGTTTCTAGAAATGTTTGTTCATTGCTCAAAATCACATGAATTGTTTGATGATATTGGGGCTGCAGTGGGATGATTTGCAGAAAATCTGGTCTCTGATTTGAATTATACTGTGCCCACAAATCAAACTTCCATTATAGCTTGCTGGAATATTGTCCATGGTGTGGCTTTCTGCAGCTCTTCAGATTCTTGGTGTGAATTTGTTCCTGCTTGGCTGAGAGAGCAAAGGGTGAATACAGGGCCCTGAGATCTAGGTGGTAGATGAATAGGGCTTGAAAATTGTTATTTTCTTATGCCTTAGTCATTTGGAATTTCCTACTGCCCCTCATCCCTGATATGTTGTACCCAGATCTGCACAGCAAAGACAAATATGTGTCATTTGTGAGTTAGAAGCTGAATTTGATGGCACATCTTCTCCAAAATATTCAAGAGGCAAAACTGCTAAGGCCCAACACGTTGGAAATGCAGCCTTTGTTTCTGCACTTCCCTGACAGCTGAGATTTGAGGCAAGTGGAACCAGCTTGCGTTGGCAAACACACATTATGATGCTGAGCTATTCTGAAAATGCAAGCCTATCCTGTTGGTTGGGAGCTGTGAATGCTGCTTTTTGAAATGGCCAGAGGAGCTGCTGTAAAGCAACGAAACAACTTCTGTTTCCATTTCTTTCTTTGATCTAAACACATACTGTCACATGTCTCCCAGCATAGGGATGATGGCTCTCAAACTCAAATGTCGCTTACTTAGTTTGCATTCACTTTTAAAATTGATCTGGCAATAGACCAGTGGAATTAAAATGAGAAATTTATGATTCACAAGACCATTTGTGCCATGGCTTAATGTTTTTAATGATGGACAAGTGATGGGCCAAAACTTTTGATTGTTTCCTGTCAAATATTTGTTCCAAAGAGACTACTTCTTCTGGTCTGCTGGCTAGTTCTCATAAACCTTTAATGGTCTTTGCTAAAATAATTTATATAATGCACTCTAAACAGAATGATCTCATACACTTCCAGTAAAAAGAAATACCCACAGTTTTATGCGTCACTGTGTTTGGGGTAGAAGGATATTGTTAGCTAGTGATACTAATTAAGTGGAATGAAATACAAATAGTTATTAGTTTGTCTGACTGTATTAGACATTTGTGCTGAGTTATTACAGTTAGTGTATTTTTTATACATAATCCAGTAAGAAGTCAGGCCTCTCTTACAGCAACCTCTCAGAAATACTGTAACCACTGGTTGCCTGAATAAATATATCATCGCTTAATTCTTCCCCTTCTCAGCTTCTGGGAAAGCTGGCGCACTGCAGTGTGTAAAAGGGATCCTTTCACCAAAGAAACAGAGCTCCTGAAGAAAAAACTATTCCCAAATGCTCTTTCACCACATCTTAAAGATTTAAAACACATATGTGATTTGTGCCTCTGTAACAACAGAAAGGGCAAAAACATAGAGGTGTGTTAGAAGTACGTTAGTACTTCAGTGCATTGCACTGTACATGAAAAATGCCCCATCCCTGGAGGCATCCAAGGCCAGGCTGGATGGGGCTCTGGGCAGCCTGGTCTGGTGGTTGGCAACCCTGCACACAGCAGGGGGGTTGAAATTACATGATCATTGTGACCCTTTCCAACTCAGGCCATTCTATGATTCTCTGATTCTATGATATGTTGAGGTCTTTCAAAGCGTGTCTGAAAAATGACCAAGGCTGCATACAGGATCTGTTGCTTCTAAATCCAGTTTAGTGAGTTACAGCTGGTGTGATTGTAAACTGAATTTTCTTTTTTGTTAGTTTGTGTCGTGTGCAACAGTAAATGACATGTACTTGGCTGTCTTATGGAATATCTCTGTTTAGTTTTTTTAGGACATGTATCACTGGAATCCAACAAATAACCCTGTTTACATCTTCATGTGTGTCTTGCAGTGTGTAAGTTTAAAGCACATAAAAGATGCGCTGTCAGAGCAACAAATAACTGCAAATGGACTACATTAGCCTCCATTGGAAAAGATATCATAGAAGATGAAGATGGTGTAAGTACTATTCTTATTTACAGTACTTTCCAGTAGCTGGTTCCTAATGGAATAAATGGCTAAGCATAGAAATGTTGTCATGAGACCCATTGAACTAATGGTACATGGCTGTATTTCCGAACACTTTTCAAAGATTATCATGGTATTTAAAACAAAACGTTGTATTTCTTTCTTACAAGAGAAGCTTAATGTCTGTGGACACCAGATTGAATGCGTGGTACAAGATTTTAAAGATCACATGCAGAGAAACTGAAGGTGAAGAATTGCTCTGAGGATTTCCTACTGCTCTTAAGCAAGAGTGGTATTTTACACCATTACCAAGCTGTTTTGGCAATCTATTTTGTGTCCTCCTTACTGATAGCTGTTCCTCAGGAGGTCTGTTTGGAATTAATACTAAATTGCACACCTAGGAATTTCTTTTAATGCACAAGTTATTATTGCTGGGACAGCGAGCGCACAGAGAACAGCTTTGTCCTCAACCCAGAGGCTGTTTATAGAGCTGTGACTTACCAGTCTTGGATAACTGAGGTGGTACATAAAGCCACATACATACTCTGCTCTCCTGCCTGTTCTTCTGAATTTTAGTTATTGTGATGGGTTTGTGCTACGTAATCTGTATTAAATGATTGGGTGCATATTTGTTTTAGAGAATCTCTAGATTTAACTGCTTCATTGTTTTGTGCTAGTCATAGCATAGTGTCACGAATAGTTGAGTGAGAAGTATTTCCCTTCTTTTACTACAAGATATGGTTTAGTAGCTTAGTGGTAGTAATGGTGATAGGAGGACGGTTGGACTAGATGATCTTGTAGGTCCTTTCCAATCTTGTGATTCTATGATTCTATGATTCAGCTGCCACACTTTCTACCTATCCTGGGCTGTTTCGTAGCCTAACCTATGAAACAGCAGCACAGCCCATTTTGATAGCAGTTGCCTACCAAGACTCAATGTCACTTCGCTTACTTTGCCATTTTTCTGATGAAAAGATAGAGCTGTGGAAGTACTTATAGTTCACCTGTAATTGAGAGACAAAAGCTGTGATTTCTGCATCTGGATGTTTAACTTGTATGGCTACTTCTTCACAGATAGCTATGCCTCACCAATGGTTAGAGGGTAATTTGCCTGTCAGTGCCAAATGTGCAGTCTGTGACAAGACCTGTGGCAGTGTTTTACGCCTACAAGATTGGAAGTGCCTTTGGTGTAAAGCTATGGTAGGTACCACATCCCAGTGCCTAAGATTTTGCCAGCTCTGTTACTTGCCATTATTTTTACTTTTTCATTTCATTACTGTGCTTTTAGATTAAGTAGGGAGAGGCAGCTTATGCAAACTCAGGTCTTCCTAACATTCAACATTTCTCATGACTGTCCTACTTCTTTTGCTTAATATTTAATACGCCCACAAATGCAGTTTTCTTTAATAGGTGTTATCCAGTGTGATTTCTCTGTCTTCTCCTAACTGATAACTGTGGAGGTTCAGATGCCTGTTCTGTATGCATAATAAACATATGTTAACTTTTTTGTCTCTTTCATAACAGTTAATTTGCATTTATCTTCAACAATTTTACTGCAAGACTCTTGATGTTCTCTTCTTTAATATACTTGGTAGACTGCTGACTGAAATTCTATGACAATGCAATTGCTTTCTCCCCCAGAATATAATTTTTTCTTTTTTTTTTTAGCCTGTCTAAAAAGAATGCTATGTGTATTAGAATCTATATATATGCTAAATTATAGAACTGAGAAGTCAGCAGATTTTTTTATTCTTAAGGCTCTCAGCATATACATGTCTAAGGCTCTGTGTGTTGGCAGTGGAAAATGCTTGGCATCTCTGGAGGTGATTTGAAATTAGATGAATTACAGTACCTTCCATATGTGTGATTTTCCAATAGCTATGGAAGAAGACAATATAGCATATATTTTATGGGACACTGGATATGTTTTCAGCTGGTTTGGCTGGCTTGTTCATCTTCCAGAATATTCAAGTGAACTGCAAGTATGGAGCAATAGCTTTGCTTGTGCAGAGTGTGCCTGCTCCCCTCAGTATAGATGCTGGCTGCTGGGAATTTGGTCCTAACTTGCTAGGGGATGGAGGTAAGCCATTCAATTGAAAGGACAATTTATATCTGCCATAGGAGTAGTCAAAGATGAAGTTCTCCAAACTTACATTTTGTGGAATGTGTAACAAGCTTTTGTGGTTAAAGACTCGCGTATTTTTGTACGGTCTCTCTTCACCAAATTGTTAAATTTTAGTCTGGTTTTGTTCCACAGATACTCTTATCTGTTGTAGTTCCACTACTGTAGATTAGGGAAATCATTTTTTGTTTGTTTTCTAGGTTCACACTGCGTGTAAGGATCTGTACCCTCGTAAATGTCCACTTGGCCAATGTAAGGTATCGATCATACCTCCAACAGCACTAAACAGTATAGACTCTGATGGTACGTAGTATTGTAGCGTGTTCAGTGGTAGCTCTGGACTTGCAATGACTACTGCATTCTGTTTGACTAAGCAAGGCTAAAATCCCTCAGTTGAACGAGCGAATGTTGTCTTCACAGTTAGAGAACAGTGCAGTTTTCCATGTGGGTTTTTAGAGGGTTATTTATACAGAAAATTTTTAAAAAGTTTTAAAAGTTACCCTGATAGAAATTTTCTCCATTTTAATTTATGACTCTTAGAAATTTTTCAACTGAATGGTCCTTAGTTAAAGCAATCCAATGCCTGCCTGACATGCAACCCTTGTAGAATGAGCTCTCAAATTCAGATAACTTTGCTTGGTACTACTGAATGTAAGCTAGCTGAATGGCTCCAATGCAACAGTTGCCTTATCAGGCTAATGAGCAGAATGACTTATGTGGTCCCTCCAAACATCTTTCAAATAAAAGTAAGAATCCTGCAACACACTGATAAAGAAACTCAGCAAACATTTAGAACTCAGAGGTGTTCTTTGATGTCTCGGAATATATAAGCAGTGGGAGACTGTCCTTAAAGGCAGGGAATCAAATGAATACAAACTATCATAAAATCCAACAGCTTTCTTTCTGTAACTCATGTGAGATCAGCAAATTTAATACAGTTTAATGATTTTTACTGTATGAAGATAATATAAGTCATTGTTTATGCTGTCTATGATCACTCTTTGCTATTTATTTGCTATTTGGTCTCCAGATCAGAGCACCATTCTACTATCTGTTATTCATGATGACAAGATTGTTCTATATTTGAAATTATTTTTCTTGGCACTATAATAAAATGGACAAATTTTATTTAAAATAATACATTATGATAATGTGGAATTATAGTAGCATCCTTTAATGGCATTTTTTAATGTATAGCTTTAGTATTTATTTTAGGCAATAAAAATGGCACAGTTATTCTAATATTGCGTGAAATAAATGTCAACACCTACACCTGTGATGTCTGATTTTGAAGTGTTGCTGAGAAAGCACTACGTCCATGGAATGTTTATGTTATCAAGAAGTATCAAGAAGTGTCCATTAGTGCCTATTGAGACTCTTATTGAGAGTCTGCTGTAATCATTTAAGACCTATGTTGATATTAATAACCTGTAATCAATACTGAAGGTCTGCTGTTCAATGAGCCTGTTATAATTAATAATCTAACTTCAGCCCCCTAAAAAGTTCTCATGTGAAGAGAAACTGAATATGATAAGCTTTAAAATCTGTGAGCATTCCTAGAAAATTCAGGCTTGGATGATCCAATTCAAGCCAGTAAAGAAAAATCAGATGAAAAACCACACAGTTCCAGCTGAAATATGTATTTAATTCTGTGATAACCTGTGAAGAGATTTGAGCGGTATGCTCAAATCTGGTTTGCTGCGGAACAAAATAAAGCTATTGTCTTCAGGATTTTACTGAATACAGACACTGAAAGTATTAGAGAGAAAAAAATGAGCTGGCAAATCTTGAGCAATTACATTTTCCTTGCAGGGCTAATATTCAGTTTAGCATTTACACAATGCATGATAAAATGTACTTCTTTTGTCTTTCATTCCTTTCTTCCTCTTTCCCATGATTTCTTTTTGTGTTGTTCATATTAGAAAGCCTTATTTATTTCATTCTTTCTAACTATGTTTGCAGGTTTCTGGAAAGCCACATGCCCGCCATCCTGTGCCAGTCCTCTTTTAGTTTTTGTTAACTCAAAGAGTGGAGACAATCAGGGAGTAAAGTTTCTTCGTCGATTCAAACAGTCGTTAAATCCAGCTCAGGTGTTCGATTTAATGAATGGAGGACCTCACTTAGGGTAATGACCTTGGAAATCTTGAGCCATCCTTTCTGCGAGGGAATTTAGTGCAAAGCATAGCATTGTGTTGTCCCCTCATTGCAGTAATTCTATTGCCAATATCCAGCATGTGACTTCCTATTTAAGATTTACAGTAGATAACAGAGTTTCAGTGTGAATTCTGGTGGGTGAAGGGATTACAGGTTGATATTTTCATTTTAGTAAACCTCATCTGCAGCGTGTGATTAAGTACACTAAAACTTCCATCACTGTAGAAATATGTCCAAAGTGTGACTTAGATAACAAATGCAAGAGGACATGAATATGAGCATCTCACATAAATTTGGAGCCAGCCCACGATTAAAATCACCAGGCATCTACAAAATCTAAAGGTTAATTGTTGAAGAGATAGAGATGAGGTTTGAATAGTGATGGCCACAACCCAAGCATCTTTGCACATTCATAAAGATTAAATTCATGCACATTTTTCTGTTGCCTTAATTCTTAATTCTTAATAATAAAACTTAATTCTGCTCAGATGTAGCTTTGTGGTTCAGTGGCTTACTAAGATCAGTTAAAGCCACTGAAAACATTATTGTTTGTAGTCTTAAAGATGGAGAGTTATGCTTGCATGATAAGATTTAAACCATAGCAAATGAAAAACTTAATAATGGGCAAATAATACAAATGCAATTGAATACAACTTGTATTTTTATAGTTAGTACTGTGTTTTTAAAATATATTAACTCTTGTAATATCTTTTTATTGTAATCTTTTTAATCTATGTCACTTTCAGCTAACATTTTGCACATGTAATTATCATAACAATCATAACATAAAAGTAAGGAAGGCTCTCTTTAACTGGAGAGAATTTTGAGACAATCTGAGAAATACACCTGTTGGAAGTTCTCTTTCTTCTTTTCCTTTATTTATCAACACCAAGATTCAAGAGGTTCACTTTGCATTTTGTGCAGTAATTGTAGGTCAGATTGGTTGCTCTTAAATATTTTTCCTCAAACAGTTTCCAAAGAGAGGTCCTTAGAAGTTATTCTATCAGGATGTAATGATGTTTACTTTTTTTCTAGTTGATCTAAAAAGCTTAGCTGCATTCTTCCCTCAAATAAATGTATCTTTTGTTCTGAAACTGCCTATCATGTACAAATGACATTATTTACTTTAGAAAAATATAAAAGCTTCAAATAATTGTGATCTTAATGTGTTGCTTTTTAGAAATAGTTCTCAGATTATACATATTCTGGAAAATAACATGCATTAAGGTGAACATATTTATTTCTTTTATTTTAAAAGCTAACATTTTTTAATTCATTCATTTTAGATTTACTTAGTTTGCTTTTAAATCCCTGTTGTTCTTACCTCTTGGTTGTTTCTCCATATCTCATTCCCCTTTCCTCTCTGTCTCATATTTCACCGAATCACACAATCACAGAACTGTAGGGGTTGGAAGGAACCTCTACAGACCAATAATAGCCCAAGCATCCTGCTAAAGCAGGTTCTCTTCAGAATGTTGCACAGGAAAGAGTCCAGGCAGGTTTTGAATGTCTCTAGAGAAAGAGACTCCAAAACCTCTCTGGGCAGCCTGTTCCAGTGCTCTGTAACCTTCCAAGTAAAGAAGCTTTTCCTCATGTTCATATGGAACTTGGGTTCCAATGTGTGCCCACTGCCCCTTGTTCTGTCACTTGTTCTGCTTATTCTTTCTTGTTCTCCTTTTCTGTGCTGGTGAAGGATATTATATTGTGTAAAACAGAATGGGGAACTATAGGAAGTAAGAGCAGGATATTGCTTTGAGCATGTAATATGAAATACAATATTTGTTTTCTGTTGTCATCACCTTGCTTGTAATAATTGCCTCCAACTGTCCTTGCGTTTAATCAGTCACAAGTTGGCAAAAGCCCACTGGTGTTCTGGAAGATATCCTGTTGTCACATCTTAACTACTTGTGAAAAAATTCCCTGTGCTTCTGACCTTAGTGGGAAGCACAGAACAGCTGTAATTTCAAAGCTTAGACATTTTTTGAATAATAACAATAAAATCCTGAAAACAATATCAAGGGAATTCTTTTAAAATAAAACTCTGCATGTTATTTATCGGAAATGTCAGTATAAGTGAAATATACAGCAACAGATGGGATATGCAGATAGCTTTACTACAGTAGCTGGTTGCATCCACATACCTCATAACAGTAAAAGACTCACCACTGAGGTGCTGGATACCACATATACATGTCATGTCTGCTCACAAGTGTGACTGTTGTCTTAGTGGTGAACGTGGCTCTAACAGGTTGCATTTTCTCTCCAGTTTGCGGCTATTTCAGAAGTTTGACAACTTCCGGATTCTTGTATGTGGTGGAGATGGAAGTGTGGGTTGGGTGTTGTCAGAAATCGATAAACTCAGCTTGCACAAACAGGCAAGTGTGTATATTTACTTTTCTTTGCTATACTCACTATACTTTTGTGAGTTTATTCTTCCTCGAGTTTGGTTCTTTCTCATTTGTGCCTATATAGTCCAAACTCCATTAAATGAGACTCTTTTATGAAATAAGCAGGGTAAGCTTGTACTATAATTACACTATTTGATTTGCAAGCTTTTGACACCAGCTAAAATAACTTGACGTTGTTGAAATAACAAGTATTTGTAATAGATTGTGCTTTCTAGTTTTCAATAGTAGATTTGCTCCTGTGTTGTGTTTCAGTGTCAGTTAGGAGTGTTACCCCTTGGTACTGGAAATGACCTTGCTCGTGTCCTTGGTTGGGGAGGATCCTGTGATGATGATACGCAGCTTCCTCAGATTTTGGAGAAATTGGAACGAGCCAGCACAAAAATGTTAGACAGGTAAACTGACATGTGTATATACCTGATTTATCATGAGATTCAAATTGTATTTGGGTTTCTTGTGGCCTAAATCCATCATAGAAACTTAATGACAGAATCATGGTATGACTGAAGTTGGCAGAGACCTCTGGGTCCATCTGGTTCAGCCTTTGCTCCAGCAGGGACACCCACAAAAGTCTACCTTGGACCATGTTAAAATGTCAGTCTGCAAAGATCCTACTCATGAGGAAAGTCAAGATAGTAACTGAGACAGATCTTCACTGTGTGCTTCAAACCAAAGAGTCAGAGGGGAAGGCAGTTGATGAGAATTATTTTACACAAATGATTAGGAGGAGATATTTCCTTACATAACTGATGAAGCTGCATAACTATCTGTTAGAAGTTATAAACATTAAGAAATTGCATAGATTCAAAACCATTCTGAGCAATTTCACAGACTCCCTGTGTGCTATTAAATGCCATTAAAGGTAGCATTGTTATTTAGGAAATACCTGAGTTCTGTATCCTCAAGAGTGGGAAGAATTTGCATGTTGTGCCTTTGCTCTTGCCTGAGACATCAGCAACTGTAGGCAAGATACCAGGCAAAGTGCATCTTTGGTTTGATCCAGTATTGCTCTTTCGGTATGCAATGGCATTTCCTTAGTCAAAACCAAGCAACCTTCCCACCCTTGGTTTTCTATGCGAGTTGCTGGCTAGATGCTTCTATACATAAAGCAAAAGAACAATCCTGATTGCAAACTATTAGATCATTCTACAGAAATGTGTATATAGAAGTACTTGTTACTGATCTTGAGAAATAATTGCTAATCTGGGCTTCCTGAAATATTCAGATTAAATCATATATTCTTCTTCTGTACTGAGAAGAACTTAGTTCATTTTTGCTCTAATTTCAACTGAGTTGCTCTCAAGGCCATCTTCAGTGATCTCCTGTTCTTTTCAGCAGGTGTGAGGGGCAATTTCATACTTCCTATGCTTTACTGTCCTTTACTAGGGAAAATATATATGGCAGTGAAAACTTCAGAATTTGCTTTGTTCTCATGCCTCCATACATGGAAATATGAAGCTAGAGCTTTTTTGTAGAGTCACAACGCCATAAAATATCCTGAGTTAGAAGGAACCCATAAGGATCATAGAATCCAACTCCTGGCTCCACGTAGGACAACCCAAAAAGCAGACTGTATGTCTGAGAGCACTGTCCAAACACTCCTTAAAGTCCAGCAGCTGTTCCAAAGCTGGGCAGGCTGTTCCATGCCTACCTCCCTCTTTTGCAGACCCTTTTTGCAGTCCCCAGCCCCCAGCTGCCCTCCCCTGATGCAGCTCCATGCCGTTACCTCAGGTCCAGTTGCTGTCACACAGAGCAGAGCTCAGTGCTTCCCCTCCACTCCCTGTGAGGAGCTGCAGCCACCATCAGACCTCGCCTCAGCTCCTCTGCTCTGGGCTGAGCAACTCCAGGGACCTAAGCCACCCCTCATACATCTTTCCCTCCATGCTCTGCCCCATCTTTGTAGCCCTCCTATGGATGATAAAACAAAAAATATAAGTAATAAAATGTCTTTCATTTCAAGTACTTCACTCGTATTCAGCTGTGCTATGATTAAAATTTAAGCTTTTTGAAAGAGGTTATTCTGTGTGATGGTGTATTTTCTTTTTGTTGATATGCCTAAGAAAAGATAATACTCTGATGATCTGGAAACATAAAAGCCACTGTGTTTCTTTTAGGTGGAGTATAATGTCATATGAACTAAAATTACCAGCAAAGCCTTCAATTCCTTCAGTCACTGTTGAAGAAGAGTCAGAGGAATGCCAGGTGAAGCTTCACTTTTGATTTCTTTCTCACAGGCTTAACTTTGGGCCACTGGAATGACAGAGTTTGGAATATCATTACAACACTTCTGTGCAAAATAGAAACAGATGTTTTCTGATCTGCTAATTCACTGCAGTTAATACTTTGCTCACTGTGTGTATATCAGACAATCATGGTTTCAAGTCCTGTGTTACTTACCAAAAATGAGTGAAGCTAAAGAAGCTTCAGCAGAGCTGTAGAAATAAATTCTGGTTCTATAAATGTATACTGAAGAAAAAAAAAAAACAAACGCCGTAATGTTTTCTACTTACCTTGAATTTGGAATAAGCATTGAGAAAAACATTTTGAAGGTGATGGCTGTCTTCTGAAAGAGAGAAGCTGTTGGAGCTTGTAGAAGTCAGTTAGGTTGGGTGATACCACCTGCTGTCCTTTCAGAGAGCTTGAAATCATAAGTGACTTCAGAACAAGGGAAGTGCAGTCTATCTTTAAAGCTAGATGTGTGTTCATACTGTCTGATGAGGATTTGATTTTGTTGGAGAATGAGATGCTTAAATCAAATTAATTGACATGAAAAGATTGATTGAGATGACAAAGTAATATATTCCTAAGGAAGTTAATGCATGTCAACTTTAGCTCAAAAGTACTTGAGAAGCAATAATTAATCAGGAGGTTCTTGAATGATTTAATGATTCAGGCTGTCTCAATTGGCAAGGAGGTTATAACCTTTGACAGCTTGCTGGATATGGAGATACAGAGATACTGGGGCTGCTCTGACTGTAATTCTAATGTAGTTGTTTCCAGTGTCAGCAATGCAAATTTGAGGTTTTGTTGTCTCTAATTTTGCAAGATTCTTAACATTTTCAAGTTTATCTTCACCTTGTAAATACATTTTGTTCTTGTTTGTTCTGGCTTTGAAGTAATGTTTAGCCTCTCCTGAAAATATAACTAAGTAGTTATACAAAACCTCTTTTTTTGGAAAATCTTTGTATATTTTGTATAACTCAGTAGTTATACAAAACCTCTTTTTTGGAAAATCAGTCCTGCAGTCTATTACTCTGATTTGGAGAAAGCCATTTTCTTTTGAGCACACTGTTTAATTTCTTTGTGTGTATTTTATTGAGTTATGATATTTTGGAACAGATAACTAACCTTACAGTAATTAATGTGTTCAAGTGCAGTGCCAAAATTAACTGTAAGTACATAGCTGATTCTTTTTCTTTGGGTTTCAAGAGAACTATTTCACTTGGTTTGGCCCCAGAAGACTTTACTATTGTTCAAACAGTTGTTCATTCTCACAGATTAAATGTAGGTATTGTTTTCTTCCCTTGAAATTAGAATTCATAGAATGGTTTGGGTTGGAAAGGACCTTTAAGATCATCTAGTTCCAACCCCCTGCTATAGGCAGGGACACCTCCCTCTAGACCAGGTTGCTCACAGCCCCATCCAGCCTGGCCTTGAATGCCTCCAGGGAGAGAGCATCCACAGCCTCTCTGGGCAACCCTCACAGTAAAGAAAAACCCTCTCACCACTCTCACAGTAAAGAATTTCTTCCTAATATCTAGTCTAAATCAAACCCCTTTCAATTTAAAGCTATTTCGTCTTCTTCTGTTGCTACATGTCCTTAAAAAAAGTCCTTCCCCAGCTTTCCTGTAGGCCCCCTTCAGGTTCTGAAGTTATATGCTATAATGTCCCCCCAGAGCCTTCTCCAGGGTGAAGAGCCCCAGCTCTCAGCCTGTTCTTACAGGGGAGGTTCTCCAGCCCTCTGATCATCTTCATGGCCCTCCTCTGGTCCCTCTCCAACAGCTCCATGTCCTTCTTGTGCTGGGGGCTCGAGAACTGGACACAGGTGGGGTTTCACAAGGGCAGAGCAGAGGGGCAGAAACACCTCCCTCACCCTGCTGGTCACACTTCTCTTGATGCACTCAGGATACAGTTGGCCTTCTGAGCTACAAGCGCACACAGTTGATTTACTATCAGAGCTCTACAATTAAGGTTGGGTTTTAGAAGTTAAAAAGGTGATATATCTGGTAAATATTAAATATACAAATGAATATTAAAAAAAGAGTGATAGGTACATCCATGTCAAGGACAAAAACACGATGAGGCATCTTAAGAGATTCCTAAAGGAAGCCATCAGAAAATGTCAAACTGCAGTTATTTTTAGCTTTAAGTCTGGAATGTGGTTAGAATTTTCTCTTAAAAATGAGATCTGGATCTATGCCTGTTTTGAGGCAGAACAGTGTGAGAACATGATTCTGATCTCTACTGAATCTTTTGTAACTATCGTAACACTCAGGAATTCTTCTTGGCTGGAAAAATAGGAGAATGCACACTTTTCTTCCACTTTTTATGAAATCTAATTAATGAGGAATCACAAAGGATTTTCTTTGATACCATTATACCGAGTTTTACAGCCTTTGTCAGTAGGAATACTTGGGGAGTAAGATACCGTTTGACAGCAAAAGGAAAATCAAGATTATAACCACAGGCATTTGACTTATTCTTAGTCAAGCTGCTTAGCTTCATGGAAACTTTTCTTGTTTTGGAAATAGAAGAAATTAGATTATGATTGTTTAGTATGTAACAAATCTGAAAAGATGGTAGATTGTTTCTACCACATGGGCTACTTTTAGCTTTTTTAGAAGAAGGAGGAAAAGAACTGTTCAAGGGTCAAGTTCTCAGATACAGTGTTATTTTGAATATTAAAAATTCGTTATGTGAAATTTAGTATGTAGATAGGAGCAGCATTGCCAGCTGCTTGACCTTGCTATGGAAATCCTGCTATGTTTAAGGTGTTTTGAAACACAAGTTGGTGTTAAAATACTGAAAAGTCTGGAAATTGAAGTCTTCTTTCCTCTCTGTTTTCAGATCTCGGCTTATGAGGATTCAGTTGCTGCTCATCTTGCAAAAATTCTCAATTCTGATCAGCACTCAGTTGTCATATCTTCTGCCAAGTGAGTCGGACATTTTTATGTACTGCGTAGGATAAATCCTCTGTGTAATGTTACAACCATGGTAACTTTCTGTCTAAGCTCAGTTTGCTTATGGTAGGCCCAGCTGGTTTGACTTAACACCTTAGAGCAGATGTTTGTTCTGCAAAGGTTTTATGCAGTACAATTGGAAATAGATAATAACGAAAGCAGCAGCATTTTGAAACAAATCACGTAATATTATTATAAAATGCTTTTAATTCACTCACAGTTCACATGGATTACATATGAAACATGCAGTTGCTAATGTAACTATGTGACCTACTTCACATCACATCTATTCTGCTTTGTTTTATGCATGCCTGTATCATTAAGAGGACAAAAAGCTTCACTGCAGTGAAGCGGAATTTCAGATCAGTGGCTTTGTTACAGCTGTTTGTGGCAGTTCTATAAACAGCAGTCTCCGACAACCGGGTATTTTCTCTTTCTGCAAACAGAAACTTAAAAGTGAAAGAATTGCTCTACACATCATGGACAAATCTGAAATAAGTATTCTGTGTATACCTTCTCACAGAATATTCAGAAATACATCTGTCTGTCATTACATCTCATTGTCTTCTGCTAAAAGCAAGTTAACAGCATTTCATTTTTAAAGCATACGTAGTGCATGTTGAAAATGAAACCGCAGAATTTTATTTATTTATGAATAAATATATATAAAAATATATTTATATATTTATAAATAATATATATATATATTATTTTATTTACTCAAAATTCTAAATTGTATCTGTATCTTGTTAAATCTGTTTAGTTCATGTAAAATAAATTAATATTGGTCATGTGGATATAAGTTCTTAGAAATAAGATGCATGCAATGGCTTAAATGAAAGAAGAAAAAGAGAATGTTTTTCTTTAATAGATTTTCACTTGAATTTTGCAAACCATGAAGAAAAATACCATTTGCAAAACTCATTTGGCAACAAAAATAGTGTGTGACAGTATGCATTTAAATCACTTGCCATAAGAGTTTTTTATTCAAAACATGTTTATTTTATTTTATTTTATTTCATTTCTCCTCTTTTCTATTATTACCAAGAATATTGTGTGAAACTGTAAAGGACTTTGTTGCCAAAATAGGGAAGACTTACGAAAAACCAGTGGAAAATGCAGATGAAGCTGATGCCATGGCCATTAAAGTAAGACTATGATATTTTCTGGGTTAAATTTTTTTCTTTTCTGTTTTCTTTTTCTTTCTTTTTATTTTTTTAAGTTTTTAGCACATGGGTGTTTAATTTTCAAATGGCTTCAGGATGCCCATTTTGGCTTCCATTTCATGCAATGACTTTCGAATTCTGCTCTTCTGAGTGCTTAGACCATCTTTGCACTGTGAGATCCCTACAAACTCTACACATTTTTTCCTTTGCAAAAGATAAAACACAGAATATACGTAGAGATGGAGTTAATTTGCATTAGTATTTATACTTTTGTCCGAAGGTGATCACTTTAGCTACAGGAAAACAATCAACTAGTGAGAGAGCATAACGGAAGAATGAAGGGAAGAGAAATTACAGCATTAAAAATAAAAGTTTAACAAACTGTAGAGATCAAGTTGCAGAAACATTGAAAAAGACAGGAGGATTTTGTCTGACCAACAAAATTTCATGAACTGAAATAAGTAAACAAAATCGCCAACAGTCCCAGAGTCCAAAGATTGACAAATTGCAATTGCTTCATGATTCACGTTTCATTGAATCATTGAGTGCCTTAGTTTGGAGGGGACTTTAAAGATCATTTACTTCCAGCTCCCTTGCCATGGGCAGGGCTGCCACCTACCAGATCAGGCTGATCATCCAACCTGACCTTGAATGCTTCCAGGGATGGGACATCGACAGCTTCTCTGGACAACCTGTGCTAGCACCTCACTGCCCTCTGACATGTAACCTAAATCTCCCCTCTTTTTGTTTCAAGCCATTCCCCCTTGTCCTATCACTAACAGACTGTGTAAAAACTCTTTCCTCCTCCTGCTTGTAAGTTCCCTTGAAGTACTGGAAGGCCGTAACGAGGTCTTCCTGGATACTTCTCCAAACTAAACAAGCTCCACTCCCTCAGCCTTTCTTCACAGGAGAGATGTTCCAGCTCATGATAATCTTCCTGGCCCTCCTCTGGATCCTCTCCAACAGCTCTACATCCTTCCTGTCCTGGAGCCCCAGACCCGAATGCAGTGTTCTAAATGGGGCCTCATGAGAGCAGAGCAGAGGGGTACAGTCCCCTCCCTCTCCTTGCTGATCACCACCCTTTGGATGCAGCCTGTTAGCCCTCCAAGCTGCAAGGCTTATGTCCAGCTTTTTCACTGTTCCAGGGCAAAACAGCCCTGTTTCTATTAAACACAGCAATTTGCCTCTTTTCCAGTGTATCTAGAGAGGGCAACTGCTTGATTAGGGCAAAAGAGATGTTTGACAGTGCTTCCTCAGTGCCAATTCACTTGCTTAAATGTACAGCTGTGTTGTCAAAAAATAACACCACGTGTTTTTAGTCTAATGGCTGGCATGTCTCCATAGATTGTTCCTCTGAATTGGGATGCTGACTGCCCATAATTAATTATACTGTGTGATGTGGACAAATCTGGTAGCCCTGCCTATGTTGCTGACCGTCAGAAGAAGAGTAGGATCTAATCTATACAGTAGAATAGTAGAATGGCTTTAGTTGAAAGGGACATCATAAATCATCCAGTTGCAACCCCTTGCTGTGTGCAGTGCCAGCCACCAGATCAGACTGCCCAGGGTCCCATCCAGCCTGGCCTTGCCTCCAGGAACGGGGCATCCAAAGCTTCTCTAGGCAAGTATCCTACTTAAATGGCAGGCTGAGTTTAGCACTATGTGTTGTTTTAGTCAGAATGTAGCTTTTTTTGTTTATAGTTACTTCAAGCAAGTTGAATGTTGCAGGGTCTGTCTCCCAACAGTCCATGCAAACCTACTCATAATCTGATAGTACAAAATGTTGAACCCATGTTTAGATTTTACATCAATAATTTCATAGAGATGAAGGCACAGTTTTAGTTCATACCACATGGAGAACGTAGATATCTCTCTGTAATATCATGCTTAATTTCCTCAAGATTTTCACCTTCGTTGCTTTTTAGAGTATGTGTATTCTTTCCCCCTTTTCTTAGTGTTCAGAGCTAAATGAAAAGCTCGACCTGTTGCTCCAAGCGCTTCACACAGAAGCCCAGGCTGCTCCTATTCTCCCAGGCGTCACTCCGCCCATTGTTGAAGAAGAAGGAGAGGAGTTTTCAAGTGAGGAATCCTTGTCTGAAAGTAAAGAGCAATTAGTGGAATGTGTTGCAAAGTCTTCCACCCAGAAACTCTTCAAACCAAGAGAACAGTTGATGCTCCGAGCAAACAGCTTAAAGAAGGCTGTCAGGCAGATCATTGAACAAGCAGAAAAAGGTGCACATTCATCTTTACTGATAAGGATGCTTTTTTTTTTCCTTAAAGCTAGCATAAATTTTAATATTGAAGCTTGAAATTTTTATTCTTACATGTATATGCTTATTGTGAGCTTCAAGGACAAGAAATGCAGCATGTTTAGAAGTTGATGATGGTCTGTTGTATACATGAATACATGTTTATGCATGTGTGTGCATGTATACATGTCTTTTGTAATTATTAACCTTCAGAAAATGGCAGTTTCTGATGGAATTATATCAATGGGCAAAGGATTGCTATAGAATCATTTTCACTGGAGAGGCAAAATAGAAATCTCTTGTTAATATTTTTTAACTTGCAGGTACAGGGAAAAAAGCCTAATGCTAGTTTTCTGTTTATGTTTATTTTTGGTAGAGATCTTTAAAGTTTTTCTTATTTTTATTTTATTTTATTTTTTGAAATAAGCAGTTGTGGATGAGCAAAATGCTCATAGTGAAGAACAAGTGAACCAGTCCCCTGTAGAATACAGCAAGGAGTTGGATGAATCCAAAGAAGAGGAAAAAGAGGAAGATACAAAGGAATATGAATCTCAGACAAGTGAGTAAAATAGTAATAAAATCATTTTAAAGTGTTCAGTCTTCTTACATAGTTGGTTGCATAGTTAAATAAGGTTTGATTATTTGCATTTTTTTTCTGAGAAATATCTTCTTTGTCTATGATGTTTCCTTTTGGCTATTCAAGTGTTTGTTTACTGCGTGTAAAGTAGTATTTATGGCATACTATTGCCAACTTCTGTTCTGACACAGAATAGTACTAATTCACACATTCAAATGATGGAGTAAAATCTCTCCTCCAAGTGTCCATTACAAAATCTGGCAGCAAGTGGCTGCAGTGAAAGGTCTGTCTGTGAGAGACCCTCACTTTACCCTAAGCCACAGCAAATCTTCACGAGATGCTGTCCTCCTGAGGTTCTGTTGGTGTCTCTGCCAGTGTTCCTGCCTTAGAAATGCATCATTAGATCCTTGGGACTTCTGTTGATTCAGGATCTCACACATCTTTTTCTCCAGGAGTGGATATCAGACTTTGTACAATGATTGTCTCTCCATTATCCCCTCTAACCATTAACCAACCTCTAACCCCTAGCCAACACAATGCATATTGGTTGTCCTGTTTCAACAGTTCCAGCTCACAGAGGATGCTGGCACTAAGAATGACCTGGTCCTAATGCCATTGATGCAAAATAAAATTAAAACCCCTGGTTTCTTGGTAGTACAATTTCTGTGCCTGTTCCAGAAATATGTTATTCTTCATCCATCTGAAATACGTGAAATAGAGTGCATATTAATGTTGTCAGTGGGAGATAGCTGCTTAGGGAGAAAGTATGAAACATGGATTCAATTATCTGCAATGAAACATCAGTTCTACTCATTAGGGCTCTGTTGTTTTTATCAGAGCACGAACAGCAAAAGTTTATCTTTATTGTAGTTATCCCCATGAGCCTCATCTGTCAAATAAAGAGCAGCTGTTCTGTTGATTTTCCTATTTAATGTAACTGCTTTGTTCCCAAGTACAGAGAGAACAGACTGCGTGAATAGCAGTGAATTTTTCTGTGAATTTTTCAGTAGTGTTAAGAAAAATATAAGTTAATTGTGTTCTGAATATCATATTTTACCCTCTGAGATTATTTCTGGTCACTTGATGAAAGTAATATTTTTCCGTATGTTAATTAACTTCATTTAAGTATTTCATAACTCCTGTTAGATACAGCTTGACGTTTCTGTTTCATTTTTTATCATTATAGTACAGTGTTTTATCATGCCCATATACAAATAATTAGACTGCATTATTGACCTTCTTGGCCACCTGGGCACACTGACTCCTGTTTTTATCATATCTTCACTTTTCCCTTGATTTTCTTCCCATTCTTTTTCCTGGACTGTTACTTGCCTTTGTCACCAACAATTTGACCAGCTGCCAAATTTACATGTTGCAAGATTTTCTTCATCTATATTCTGTAAAATTTTTAACACATAAATGTCTTCAGTTATTTGGAGAATTCCTGCTATTTGTGAAAAAGAAATGATGGCAAACTGATCTCCTTTGTGATCTCTGTAACTGCAGAAGACAACATCTGAATGTGGCTTTCCCTCCCCGTGCAGTTTTCAGTTTGGTTGTAGATAAAAATATCAAAGTTTTGGTTGATGTTTTCAGAAACCTGATGCAGGAAGGAGGTCAATGTTAGCTGCTTAAAGCAAGGATTATTGCTGTTCATCAGGTGGCTTAATTTCAGCCTGGGTTTTATAATAGCTATCTATAACAGAATTACTATAAATACGTAATATCTTGGTTTCTCTTATATTATATTTAATATATAATATGGGTATATTTATAAGTAAGTGCATGTGAAATTTAAGTTCAAATTCAAATTAATTCATTGACATTTATCCTTTAATAATTGATTTTTTTTCTTTCTGAAGTCTGCATTTTTGTGAAACTTGATCATAGAATCATAGAATGGCCTGGGTTGAAAAGGACCACAATGATCATCTAGTTTCAACCCCCTGCTATGTGCAGGGTGGCCAGTCAGCAGACCAGGCTGCCCAGAGCCACATCCAGCCTGGCCTTGAATGCCTGCAGGGATGGGGCATCCACAGCCTCCTTGGGCAACCTGTTCCAGTGCATCACCACCCTCTGGGTGAAGAACTTCCTCTTAATATCTAACCTAAACCTCCCCTGTCTCTGTTTAAAATTATTCCTCTTTGTCCTATCACTATCCACCTATGTGAACAGTCATACCCCATCCTGTTCTGAGTTTTCTTCCTGGTATTTAGAAGCAAAAATATTGTGTGAGAGACAAGGAAGTTTCTCACTGAAGCGTAACAGATAAATGCTTTTGAATTACTTTCAAGGCTTTAAAAACAGTGTGTTTACCACAATTGCTCTAGTAAGTTCTCTTTCTTTTACCTCTGAACAGGTAAAACTGCACCAAGATCTCCTGATCGACGTACAAGTCGAGGTATCCATTCTCAGACAGGCTCTTTCTCTGCTCCAGCATTGGCTGCCAGCAAAGAGAACCTCCCTGTCCTTAACACTAGGATTATCTGCCCAGGTAATTGTGATTTTAAAATCTGGTGTTCCTCACTCTGTGTTAATATTGCCTTCTGTTCTCCTTCTTGCTGTCAAATAATACTTCACGCCTGGTGCTCTACGTGGAAATAGAACCCTCCAAATTCATCTGAACTGACAAACACTCCTTCATGTTGTATCGTTCAGTAGGAAGTGCAAAGGAATGTAGGATACTCCTGGTCATTTGGCACAACACCAGATGTAGCAGAAGTGTTGTATTTGATTCTGAATGTTGAAAAATTGGAATGCAGGATCTTCTATCATTCATCCTAACCCATGGAGGGTCTTAAGGGTCTGATCTCCTGCACAGCTGAAACAAATCTGTTCCTACCCAAATGCAATTAATAGTAGGGGGCACCAATAAATCACTGTTTTAACTAACTTAATTAATGCATTTAATGAATGATGGATATGAGCTCACATTTTCCTTCAGGTCAATTTAAGCAAAAGCTTTTAGAAAGTATTTCCCTCTATTTATTTGCATTGCATAGTATTTTGTGTTGTGCTCAGTGAACAAAGTAGGCATAGAGAGGTCATCAAGTCTTCAGGAGCCTCTGACTCAGCTTATGCTTACCAAGCTAAACATGTAAGCATTCACTGAAGCATACTTGCTAGTTCCAGAACCAGCCACATGAATGTTGATCTTATGACAGTTGCCTTCTAAAGGACAGGACAAAAAGAAAATTGTGATGAGTTTGGGTATGAAAACTAGACTGAGTGAAAATTAATGATATTTCTCAGTGTTAGATGGATGATTTGGTTGTATGCCAACCGTTGAATGTTGGCCTGAAATCTTGGATTTTCTCTTTTATCTTTTTCAATGGTGGTACCTGAAGATTTAGCCAAACCTCAGCATAACTGACTTTCTGTTCAAGACAACTAGAATCCTGAAAAGATAATCAATATAGATAAAAATTAAGATAGAATCTCAACCCCTCTGTACAAGGATTTGATGAATATTTTGTCTCAGAATTATATCGCATTATGACAATGTATGATTCTCTATTTAATAAATCAAAATTGTTTAGCTATTTTCTTGATATTTTTGTTTCTTTTTATCAGGTTTAAGGGCTGGCCTAGCTGCTTCTATTGCAGGAAGTTCAATTATTAGCAAAATGTTATTGGCTAACATTGATCCATTTGGTGCTACACCATTTATTGACCCGGATCCAGATTCACTGTAAGCAATTTTTTTTTTTTCCTTCAAAATTTACTGTTTCACTTTACTTAGCATCACTTAAACCTTTTAGCTTGTCATAATTTGTTTTTTTTTCACTATGAAATTCTGTTTTGCTATCTATTTTCTGTAGACCTGAAGGTCTGAAAACATGCTGGATTGTGCCATTGTGCCCTTAGTTAAGAGAAGCCCAGGATTGTCTTGTAGCAGCAGAAATAATGGATAACATTTGCTCACTTACTCCTTGCACGGTCTCTGAGAGAACAGGAACATCAGTACATCGGAACTGGATTCTCTTGCCTAAACTGCTGGTCTGTGCACAAGCTGCCAGCAAAACACTGAAGCAGGGCCTTGGGGTGGAGGAAGAAGTGTCTGCCTAAGGGCTGGGACAGTAAGGCAGAAATTTTGTGTCCTAAATTGTCTCTGCTTCCCAGAATTGGATGTAGCACTGACAGAGACTTACGGATGGCATCTGAGCTGTGGGCTGTGGCTCCGCATGGAAACTCTAAAAGAAAGCACTGCTGTGCCAGTACCACCAGCATGTCTAAATGCAGCCTTGGTGCTCAGCCCACTTTGGTGCTGCTGTCTCAGAGCTGTGTACAAGGCAGATCTTCCCTCCTATTCCACTGTTATTTTGGGTTTGGTGAAGATACTGGGGTATATTGCAGTTTCTTCTTTCTCTTACCAGAAGCTAATTGCACTTGCAAAGGAGGCAGCAGCCAATCTGTCTCTTTGACAACCATTAGGCTCCCTTGGGGAGGTTCAGAGGAACTGTTGTGTGATGTATCCCTGTTGATGTGTCTGCTCTGATACCTTCCAGTGTTTTGGTCATAGTTCTGTGTGCTTGGGAACTGTAAAAATGTGCAACTAATTATCTCTTTTCTTCTAACAGGGAGGGATATTCAGAAAAATGTGTCATGAACAACTATTTTGGAATTGGGTTAGATGCAAAAATTTCACTTGAATTTAATAACAAGCGAGAAGAGCACCCTGAAAAATGCAGGTAATTGTCAGTAACAGAGCTGAGGCGTTTCTATACATTTTCTTTTCCTTATCTCTGTAATTGAGTTCTTTGTTTTTTCCTTTCTCCTACGAGTACAAGACATAATATGTGTATTTCAATTTGTTATTTTATTTGTTATTTTATTTATATTTATTTGTATTTGTATTTATTTGTATTTATTTGTTATTTTACCTTTTTTGCAGAAGTCGGACAAAAAACATGATGTGGTATGGAGTTCTTGGCACAAAAGAGCTACTGCAAAGAACTTACAAGAACTTAGAACAAAAAGTTCAACTCGAGGTAATTTTTTGTTCATAGGTAAAATGAACTTTTTTTTTTTCTACTTCTGCAACACGTAGTGATGAATCTGATTCCCCTTGAAAACTTTCAGAGTTCCTGCGTCAGCCCAGGCTTGTAAAATCCTTCCTTCAAACACACTGTCTAAAAACATTCTATGTAAGAGGCAATTCCCCAGGTGATTTATTGGATTTAAATGTCAGTATTTAAATATCTCGAGGTATCTGGTTTCATGTTTGTTGTAAATCCTTTTTAAAAAACGTTTAAAATGTGTTGCACAGGTAATACATACATAATAAAGGATGTTTTTTAATGTGCACTGCCTTAGGTTGAGAGGTCGGGTTTTAAGGACAATAACAGAAGGGTGCATACACTAAACAGAAGGAAAAGTTTGCCAAATTTTAATGCTTCAGGTTCATTTTAAACTATCTGACAGCTTGATTACACATATAGAGAGAGCACACAGATGGCCTCAGGAAAAAAAATCCTGACAGAAGAGGAAAGATTCGGAGTGAGCATCACAAGAAGCACAGCTACACCTACAGAGACTTTCTCAAATAGGTGTTTGTGGTAACCACACAGAGCAAGAGAAAGGTATTATCACAGCAACAACAAATGAGGTGTAAATTATCTGAACATCATTATTTTTTTAGGTTGTAGCACCAAATCTAAGTCTTATTCACAATACTAGCACTTTACAGGAGATGATATAAATAGTCACCAAATGCACAGAATGGCTGGGGGACAGTCATGGTTGCGTTCACTCAAAGAATATTTAGGCTGGAGGTTGACAGAGAAAATAAACAGTGTCTTTTTTTTCTTCATGCTAACTATTTTAAGTGGAATTTCATGGTGTTTATATGGAGATAAACATCATAAATTTATGTTCTGTTATAACATATATCATTGTAAGTTCACAGAATCATTAAGGTTGGTGAAGATCTCCTAGATCATCCAGTCCAACCATCCACCTACCACCCATATTTCCCCAGTAAACCTGAGTACATCCCCATGTTTCTTGAACGCCTTGGAACTCTTTCTCTCACTGAGCTTTAGGAGGATATTTTATGGTAGAGTCAGCTTGTTGTTACCTAACAATTGAATAATTATCAAGGAATTATGCAGTAGTTAGTGAATATAATGACAACCAGGGACATTATATATGCTGCAGATAGAATTCTAATTTAACGATATTTGAATAAGATTCAAAAAGGCATTCATGTCTGACCTCTCCTTAATTATTTTTGAATATATCTGCAAGTAAAACAGCAAGTAGAAAACTCACATCTATTATTGCCTTGCATAATATCAGCCTTATGTTAAAGCTTGTGATGAGGTGCTCAGCTTTGGAAAATTAAAAATATCAGTTTCAGGAATTGGAGGCAAACTTCTACTGCAATACAAATGGCTATGCAGCATCTGTTAATATCAGAGCATACGTTGGCTACTGACACATTTTGATGGAAATGTTTAACTGTGTCTTGTTGCTGACATTAAAGCATGAAAAGAAAATGCTAATCATATTCTGGAAATATTCTGCATCTCTTTCTCCTCTTGATACAATTGCTGAAGATTTCCTCCTTATTTTCTAGGGATTTCTACTTCACTTGTATAATTCTATTTCCATGGCATTAGTAACTTGGTAATTTAGCAATCTTCTTTAAAAGAAACTTTACCTGCAAATTCATTATCTCCAGAGTGACACTGAATCCAGCATGTAGATTCTTAGATGTCCTGTTCACTTTAAATACATGCTGGTGGTGCTGCTGCAGGACAGCACTTGTGGCCAAAGGTTTTTTCACTGTTAATGTCCTCTGATCACAAGTAAAGTGAGATTGACCTGACAGACATGATTCTGTGATTGTACTGTGTAGTGCTTGTTGTTGCTTTTGATTTTTAGAGGATAAAGAGGACCAACCTCTTACCTGCAACCCCTCGCCACCAAACTCCTGCACACAGCCAAGGTGACAAATCTGGAGTCAGTCCTAGATTTGTCTTTACACTTCTGGGAGGACAGTGAGTTATTTGTGCAGGAAGCCATGCATACAAGTCACAGAATCACAGAATCACAGAAACACCAAGGTTGGAAAAGACCTGCAAGACCAACCATCCACCTATCACCAATAGTTCTCACTAAGCCATGTCCCTCAACACAACATCCAAATATTCCTTGAACACCTCCAAGGTTGGTGACTCCACCACCTCCCTGGGCAGCCCATTCCAGTGCCTGACCACTCTAAACAGTCCTAACGCTGTTCACGTTTAACATGTTTATGGCCATGCCACAATGTGTTTTTTATATTTTACAATTTGTTTTGTGTTGGGTTTTGGGTTTTTTTCCCCCACTTAATGAGATTACCTAACCAACAAGCAAATTGCAATTTTGGCAGTGCAGATACTGGATGGGTGAATAAAGCTTTTGTAATGTCAATGGGCATTACTGTCTTACCGTGTACACTCAAAGAATTAGCTTTCCTAATTGCACAGAGATTTGTAATCCTTGATAGACAGCACATGGTTAAAATGTATGAGAAATTTAGCAGTTAGGAGTGTTAAAATGCTGCTTGGAAGAATCATAGAACACCTCTGCTGTAGAGACTCGTCATCTCTGCAAAAATTGTTACTGAAATCGGTGAGGAAAAGATTATTAGAGCTGCTCCGCAGTGTGGGTGGAATAGGCTGCTGTCAACCTATTAATGAGTCTGTCCTCTGTGACAGCTCTAGTGATTATTCATGTATTAAAACAGCCAACTGCTGTTACCACGTTATTTATATACTGAATGAGCTTTTATCCATTACAGTGTGATGGACAGTACATCCCTCTTCCAAGCCTGCAGGGCATAGCTGTGCTAAACATTCCCAGCTATGCTGGTGGGACCAATTTCTGGGGAGGAACCAAGGAAGATGATGTGAGTAATATTGAACAGAAGTGACCTTCTAGGGAGTCTACTTGAGTTTAAACCATATTGTCTTATGTTTGATTTTTTAATTGAGAATACATATGCCATGACTTTGCATTGTCTTTTGTCATGTTCTGTTGTAAATGAGGTTTCTCAATGCATACATTCCTCTGTTACAGTCTAACAATGAGGAAAATGGGCAAAGATGATCACAGAGTTTACATCCAAATTTTCCTCCTCCTTTTCCAACAGCTTTGAGCTAATGGGTGGTCATTCAGAAATGTGGATGGTACACTTACTGATTGGTAATTAAGTGGGGATAGTAATCTGCTTTTTAAGTACTATTTTCATTGAGCTTTTTTCCCTTGTGCTTCAAATCTCTTAAGAAATGTTGCACTACTCAGATATCTGAATGTTTTCCAGTGTGAAGCAGTCTGACTGCTGCTCTGTGCTTCATGCCCAGTGCAGCTGTTGTAATTGCTAGCAGATTATCCCAATTCTGAATGTCCCAATCTACTGTGAGATCTGACTCCCCTAAAACTGTACTTGCAAATTAGAGCGTTTTAATATCAATAATCCAGGACTTTTTTTTTCACCAGAATGCTTTTGCTTTCTTGTGACTTACGATTCTCTGGTTAATGCATACATAAAAGTCACACACACACACACACACACACACACACACACACACACACAAAATCCTGAATGCGTTTCAATGTCTTTTTATTATTTTTGGTATGTGTCAGAGAATGGCAGTTACATTTATATTTGGCTATGGGTGTCTAATGTTTTGATATTCTTTGTGTTCACATTCATAGCCTTGAAGCATCTCTAATATCTGCTCAGCTCCTATTCAGGAGATCTTGTTCTCTCTTGGCCGTTTCACTGAGAGAGGTCTGTCCTAGCTTTCATACTGGCATACAGCAAGTGTGTATGTCTCAGAGCAGTTTTATTGATATTTGTGGTTGTCTGTTGCCAGAAAATTGACATGTTTATTCTGGACAAAGTTAGGAACGTAATTCACTGCTTTTACTGCAGTCCTGAGTGACTGATGTCATTGATGGTGGTGATCTGAAATGCTGCCAGTTCTGCTTAGCTGGACAAAAGGAAGATGTTGCCTTGATGGCTGTGACTCCAGGCTCAGTACAGTTGCGTTTTCATTCTTTGACACTTGTCTGTTCTAGACTTACTTCAGTGCCATCCTCGGATGCTCTGAGGACAGTTGACACCTGGATGGGGTACTAAATGATGGCAACTGTGCAGCCTTTTGCCTGAGTGGACTTCCTCAGTCCCTTGGTCAAAGCTACATCACTGCACTGGGGTGAAGACTCCCATTGGCGAGGGGAGCAATAGGGACCAAAGTTCTTCCTCGTTTCCCATCCTCACCCTCCCTGAGACATTGCTGCAGTGATTAGATGGTTTGTGCAGTCCTGGATCTTCATTCTCTTATTCTTCACCTCCACTTCACTTCTTCCACTTCCAAGGGGCAAAACCTGACTAGTTTTGGCTTTGGGCTCCTTTTGAGGGTTTTCTCTTGTATGGCTTCTGGTGTCATCAAAGCAGCTTACTTTGCACATGGTGCCAATTAAGTTTGCCTGAGTGCCACTCAGAAATGGTCTCTTTACCCACTGTAATCTTACTGGAGTCATATCTGCTCATTTTTCTCCCTTGTTGCTCCCAGTTCCATGTCAATATGAAATGCTCAATCTTCAGGTGCCTTAGGGGTAGGGTTAGACCCTATCTCTCTTGAATGAGTTGAACTCCAGCCTGGGATACTCCTCTAACACGTCTGAGTTTTGCCGCAGGACACCAGCTGCCAGTGACACACACTTGGCTTTGTGCACTTTTGTTAACTCATGGAAATTCAAAGCCTTGACTGGATCAGGATGTTTGTTCCACTCAAAAGCAGTTTTCACTTTTACTGCAGATAATTATTTACACTGAAAACAAGATTCTTCTCGCTATTAAAGCAGCATTTATCAAAGCTGAGAGTGGGCTCAGACACTGGTTTCCAGAGAATACAGACCATAGGAAGATAAGCATTTCTGAGGAAAAAAACCCACACTATTACTCATCTCAACTTCAAGAACCTCTTAGATATTAAATACCTTAGCTGAGTGGAGGTTTGAACTAGCCCTTCATCTTGTGTTGAAAAACATTCCTTAGTCTGCATACTGAACTGTGCCACCTTTTATATCAAGGGATATCATTCAGATACTTGAAATGCTGTTGTCATTGCTGTTTTAAGATAGTAGTTGCCTTCTGTCGATGATATTTCACTTGTATAGCATTTGTAGGGATGGTATAGTTATTTTAAGACATTTAAATGAATGTTGAAATTGAATCTGTAAGTGGACCTACAGAAAAGAAGGCTGAGTTTGTTTATTATTTAACATGCACTGGGCTAACCATGGAAAATGGAATATTTTCTTTTCCTTTCAGATATTTGGGGCCCCATCTTTTGATGATAAAATCCTGGAAGTTGTGGCCGTATTTGGTAGCATGCAGATGGCAGTTTCAAGAGTTATCAAACTGCAGCACCACCGGATAGCTCAGGTCTGTTTCTTGCTTGAAAGGACATAGTATAGTTGTCATCAGTTTGGGATGCTGAAGTGTGGGGGTACTCTAGATGACCACTGCCCCACGCATTAATACAGCACTGAAAGTGTTTTAATTTTAGTGGATAACAAATCATCTTAAATGATGGATGAAGTATGAAAGTGCTACACCCTCGAGTCCAATCTGGAGAGATGCCACAGCTCCTCATAATCAACATATTTCAGGTGGCCTGTCAGCTTGATTAATATTTATGGCTCAGTAAAATAACGTGTTTGTTCTTTTCCAGTGTCGGTCAGTGAAGATCACCATACTTGGTGATGAAGGGGTTCCAGTGCAAGTCGATGGAGAGGCATGGATCCAGCCCCCGGGAGTTATTAAAATTGTACATAAAAACAGAGCTCAGATGCTAACACGAGACAGAGTATGTGACAGAAAGTGTGTTACGATGCACCTTTGCTAACATTATTTTCCACAGTAATTTGATTTAGTTATAACAGGAAAAAACAGTGCTTAAAAGAATGTTTTGTAACTATTTATATAACTTATATAATTACTTGTAGTTGTGTCACTTCCATAATAAGCTAGATAGAGAATCATTCTTTTGTATGAGTGACACAGCTCTTTGTTGGTCTTTATCAGTTATGTTAGTGCTATTCCTGTGTTCTTATTAATACATACTAAGAAGAATGGTCAAAATTTCATATATTTTCATTTTGAGGCACTAGGTAGTATATGGACAATCACATATTAGAAGTTTAGCAAATTGCAGAAATAGCAGCATTCTATAATGTCTGTTTTCCATGATAGCTTTTCAGATTTCTCTCCTGTCTCTCTGTCCTGCTAACCCTGCATCCCATATGACAGTTCAGAAAGAAGGGACACGAGCAGCATCTAGTCACAAAGCCACTAAAGTTCATACTTATCTAAGATTACCATGCTAAAGGCTTAACTGTCCCTCAGTTCTCTGTCCTCTACCCGAATCTTGAATTTAGTGTGGAATTAATGGCATTGGAACTGTATTCCAACTATTATTAGAATTATTAAAATGTATTCTTAAAATGTTAACATTTTTTCTTTAGGTTTGAACCTTGCTTTTCTTTCAGATCTGATCTTACTGTCCTCACAAAATGAAATTGTATAATTAGGGCCTTTGCATTCTTACAACTTTTGAAGGGACTTGTTGAGGGTATGAGAGGGAGAGAGGAAGAGAGAGAAGTGACACTTTCAGGAGTGACTCATTCTCTGTACTAAGTTTGAAAAAGAAAAGTAATTTAAGGATTTAGAGAGCTTATATTATTTATATAAAATTATGTGCAATTCCACATGCTTTTACGTCTATAAACAAAAGTGCTGCAAATGCTGTGAACTGAATGTGTGATTTGTTTTGATCAGGCCTTTGAAAACACCCTGAAGTCTTGGGAAGACAAACAAAAGTACGATTCCTGCAAATCTGTCATTCGATCTCCCTTGTACCCTCAACAGGCTGTTGAGTTGGCTACAGAAGAAGAAGTCACACAGGTCCAGCTGTGCTCACAAGCTGCAGAAGAACTTATTACAAGGTACATTAAAATAAGAAAACTCAATTTGGCAACTTGTATACCGAGATTGAATCATTCATACAAGTGCATGTGTAGACTTCGTAGTGTGTATTTTATTATTAGTTTGTTATTTTTTGAGGCTCAACTGGTCCGTGTATGGAAGTGGTCAGAATTATCAGTCTTGAGAGAACTGACTTTTTAAAGGAGCAGTAGATACAGATATCTGAAAAGCTTCTTTACGGAGAGACTTTTGATTGAAGCATCTCATGTTAATCAAAAGCAAAAATGTATTTACTGGGAAAAAGAAAACCCTGAAAATCAACATTAGAAGTGAATAATGTGGATGCACCCATCTTATCTAGTAATGCCGTGTTACCTTGATAGTCAATTAACTGGTATTTATAGAACTTTATACATCTGATTTGCTTTTTTGATGCACATTTTACAAGAGGAGCCTTTGTCCTGGAATATTTCTCCATTGGTTACAGAGGGAATCTTGGCTATAACAGGTATAGGCATCTACATTCCTGATAATTCATACTGTGGACAGATCAATCTCAGGTGTTTGACTCTTTCTATGTTTTTTTTTAAATAACATAAAATATTTTCCTATTCCAGCAGCTTCTGACCAGCCAAATATTTTCTTCTGTTGACTTTTTATTCCACCATTCCTCATCCACTTTTATTTCTCCTTCAAGTCCCTTTATTCACATTTTATTAAATATAAGCACTTTTCAATAAACATGAAAGTTCTTGTAAAATATTTTACAAGTAAACAATTAACACACTGATATTCAAGGAGCCCAAGTTGCCATATCTTCATACCTTTTTGCATTTATCCACTCATTCATAGTTATTGTAGCTTTTTATTTCATTCTTAGTACTCAAAATCCTTATCCCTGTGACCTTAAGTGAAGTGTTTAACTTCAGTAATATGACAGAATCAATCTAGAATCATAGAATGGCCTGGGTTGAAAAGGCCCACAATGCTCATCCAGTTTCAACCCCCTGCTATGTGCAGGGTCTCCAGTCACCAGACCAGGCTGCCCAGAGCCACATCCAGCCTGGCCTTGAATGCCTCCAGGGATGGGGCATCCACAGCCTCCTTGGGCAACCTGTTCCAGTGCATCACCACCCTCTGGGTGAAAAACTTCCTCCTAATATCTAACCTAAACTTCCCCTATCTCAGTTTATTTATATATATGGGTTGAGGTGATGGTGAGCTACTGGTACAGAACTGATCCCATTGCCTTACTTGTTTTCAAGAACTGCTTGTTTCAGAAGGTATTTTAATAAAGAAGATGCAACAATTTTCACATAAAAACTTATTTAAAAAACAATTTAATTGAAACGTTTTATGAAGCTGCTGTTAAATTCATCATGATGATAATCTGTCATAAGCATCAGAAGTGATTCTTGACGTGCACTGGTAATATGAAGAAGTGCCTACTCTTTCTGTGCTGTGCTGGTGACTTACATAGACATAGAAAAACAATGTAGATCACGGGTTTTCCAGCCTTCTGGCTTCTCTGGTCTGCAGTGAGTGAACTGGAATTGTCTAGAGCTGCATCTACTTAAGTTGCTCTGAAAGTAATGCTTCCTAATTAATTCCGTGGAAGCAACGGTAGATACAAAGAAAAGAATAATGCTATTCAAAAGATCAAATTGTCAGCCATGAAACACTCTTTTTCAACATAGTCACCGTGATTAGCTCTGCATTTTCACATGGTAAAAGCATGTAATGGAATACTGGTGGGTATTCTTTAAGAAGAATATTTAATGCTTTTTAAGATACCTTCAAATAAGTTCACTTAATAAGTGATGGTTTTCCTTTGCACTTCATTTGAGTAAAGATCCCCACATTTCTGGGTACAATTTTTGCTATGTTGTAGCAGAATAAGTCTCCAGTCTTATGGATGTCATTTATATGAGATGCTGAGTTGCTTCAAGTGATACTTGCAATTGAACTTCTGTTATAGAGAGCTGTATTTCTTAAGTATTTCATGACTTTTGTATGTTTTTTTCCCATGATAATACTGCATACTGTTAAAAATTGCTCTTTAAGGGAGATAAGAAATATTTTTCTCTTTTTCCTGTTTTTTTTTTTTTTTTTTTTTTTTTTTTTAGAATCTGTGAAGCAGCAAAAATACATGGCCTCTTGGAGCAGGAGCTTGCTCATGCTGTTAATGCGTGTTCACATGCTTTAAATAAAGCCAACCCAAGGTTTCCTGAGGTAAAGGAAGAACAGACGTTTACATTAAGTTTTCGTTATGTTTAAGTGAATGCATTACAAGTAAATATATGTGTGAAGTTGTGACATAGGATCAGTTTGTACTTCCAGTTCACATATTGCAACATGTTGGGTGATAGTTAATGACGTTTTTATAAACAAGACTCATAAATATACTTACCATACTCAAGTTTAAAATGAAATTGCTTAACAGATGAATGGATGCTGTATCCTCTTTTTTTTTGTCACTCCTTCTAAGGTGAAAGTGAATGGAGATACACACAGATCACTCCTAAAGTATTGCCTCTCCTTTTTCTTTCCATAGAAACTACAACAGATACAAACATACAATAACACTGTTTGATAGAGCAAATTCTCAGCTACGAAACACTGTTCTTTATCATGGTTACTACCAGTAGCTATGCATGCTGTGCTCATAACAGCCTGCACCAGCAGGGCTGACCCACTGTTGCTGCTGCCACTGCTGAAACACGTCACCCACTGCCTCACTGTGCTCACATCCTCTGTTAGGTCTTCATAAACATTCTCCAAGTGTCAGTGAATGTTGATGGGCGCCATTTTTTCTTCTTGGAGGAATTCCACGTCACACCTTCGTTTCATGTCAGACACCATTCTGTCAGACTGCTCCTCTGCTGCCATCTGTCACACGGCAAAAACATGCAATGGGATATTGGCAGGAAGGCTCAACTCTACAGCCGTGCCACTGACATCCACCTCTGATTTTAGGGCTGATATAATGGAACAGGAAGCTTGGCAGTTGGAGCAGCCTTTGTACTTCCAGTTGTGAAGGTGCTGGATTGTATAGCAGCAGGAAATCTCAGCTCTGTGCATGAGTAGGGGAACACCTCATAGCTGATCAACTTGGTAGAAATCACGTTCAAAGATTCTGAAATTTCTTCATGTGAATGTGAATTGGAAAAATCCATCTACAAAAGAAGGCGAAGAGTTCCCTCCTGATCTATATGGTATCTTAGAAAGCAAAAGATATAGTTTCTGCATTCATCATTATCCCACTCAGCTGATGTTCCCTTTTGTGAGTGCTGGATGTTCAAAAGGCACTTTGATGACTGCATACATGAAACATCTGAGTTTTGTTGTGGTGGGGAAATACCCAAAAGGAAAGTTGGATTGGAGGCATAAAGAAAATATGTCTGTTGTCTTTAGGAAGCAGTGAAGAATTCAATCCATCTATAGAGGAGATACACAGTTAGGGTGTTCATCCTGAAGTTGTGCAAGAGTGCATATTAGATCAAGCAAGGTGGTGTGCTAATATAGTTCTAAGCAGGAGTAAACCAGACTCATATCAGCAAAGAGCAAAAACAGTACGCAGACTAAGCTGACATCTACTTGCAGGCAATCGTTCTGATGTGTCTCCAGACAATTAGAGGCATGATAAAGGCTCAACAAATTATATTACTACATACAGGTCAATTCTTGTGAATGTGTTCATAGAAACTTTCATGCTTAGTTGTTATTCAAATGTTATGCACAGAATGCAAAGGGAGCAGAGGGCTGAGTCTCCTTTACAATGGGCAATGCTGTTTTCAGGGGTTGGACCCAAAGATGAATAATTAGATAGAGTCTTTCTACAGAGTTTTAACTAACCTAAGCTTATTTATGGCAACTACGTTAGCTAACCTTTGGTTCTTAAAATATGCCTAGCAGCTAACTTATTCTAAGGATAAGGTGGGTGATTCAGATCAACAGTCCATTAAATGAGAACCACAACTTTTCTACTGGCCTTTGCCATCCATGAAAATCATGAATTCATCTCACAGGGCCTGCTCACTGTCTCTTCAAGATTGTATAAGGTCATATTAAATAAAGTTGAGGAAAGACAGTAAATAGATAATCCATTTTTCTTTTTTGTGATCTCAGTGCTGAAGAAGTTGTCACTGTAGCGTTATAAATTGATATATTTTTCCTAGAAGAATACATGGTGAATGCAGTAAGCACAAAGTACTTATTCTCAGTCCAACTAGCATCCCATCAAATAATTTTTATGCTTCTCATTCCCCAGAGCCTAACCAGAAACACTGCCATGGAGATAGCTGTCAACGTGAAGGCCTTACATAATGAAACTGAATCTCTGCTAGTAGGAAGAGTTCCTTTGGTAAGTTGACAAAATACATGATTTTATTCCCTCATACTTGGTGTGATTTGTTCTTTGATTTAGACAGAATTTATGATGTGCAGTAAGCAGCTCTGTAAGGCCAGGTTGAAGATTCTACACTGCATTTATGCCTGGAATCAGAATGAGTTATAAATTCCTGTCCAAGGTTAGTGTGCATCTTCCCTCGCTCCAGATATGTATAACTCATTGCCTGGGCTGCCCTTTTTATTAGTCAGTGGAGAAAAATAATATCCCTGTTGAGCCTGAATTCGCCCCCTGTTGCCATAGAGGCATATCTTAGAAAAAGATAAATCATCTTCTGGAGGTTTAACATTTCAGAAAACTTCTATTATGTGACCACCTTCAGAGTTTAAATAGAGCCTGGAGTGAGAACTATTCCGACACATACATTCAACTTCTACAGATCTAATTTGGGCAAGTAAATCTCACCTTTATTTTAATATCTAGCAGGAATTATTTTGTAACTTCTAGCTGGAAAGTGTTCAAGAAACTTCTGATGATACTTAAAGACTTTTCATCTTCTCCTTCGGCTAGTGTTTCTCTCCTTACAATGATGAAGGCTGCTTAGGAATTGTTGTACCTGGATGTATAATTAGAAAATACCTTTATCTGACACTGTGAAGAGAAAAAAAGGGGTCGGGTTTTCTATGCTGGTCCAGTTTTAGAGTATCAATATACTCAATAGTAAAAGTTATATTTTCTTTGGATTCGGAAACAAATGTATTTAACTTACTGTTGAGTTTATTAGTTAAAAGGAATGTTTAAATCGGGCTCAATTAGACTATGAAACTTATTGGGGCAGGTTCAGATACCTTTTTACAAGTGAAAATTGGTATAAGTCTGTTCTACAGTAAACACTTAAGTTCTAAGAATGGAATGGAGTAGAATAAGTAGAATAGAACAGAACAGTTCAGTTTGAAGGTTCCTACAAAGGCCATTAAGTTCAACTACCTAACCACCTTTTTACCAGATATGTTGCCCTTCTCTAGAAACATTCAATTTATATCCTTTTTATATTGTTGGGCCCAGAACTGTACACAGGATTCAAGGTGAGACTGCACCAGTACTAAACGCAGTGAAAAAATCTCCTTCCTCGACTTTCTTGCAGTGTTGTTTTTAAGGCATCCCAAAGGGCAGTTTGCTCTTTTAGCTGCCAGGGCACATTACTGGCTCATACTGAGCCTGCTGTCACCAACACACTGAGTTCCTTTCTGCTGAACTTCTCTCCAGCCTGTACCCGTGTCCAGCATTATGCCATTTCAGGTGTTGAACCCTTCATTTTCCTTTCTTGAGTTTCATGCCATCAATGATTTCCCAGTGCTCCAATCTGTCTAGATCCCTCTGCAAGGTCTCTCGTCCTTCCAGAGAGTAATGATCTGAGTGTGCATCTCAGGTTATTAAAACTGTCAAAGATTGGGCTCATATGATCTATTTTATGAAGTTTTAGAAGGGAAAAATATTAATTAATTGGTTTTGTCCAAGGAAATTTAAGTGTATCTATTGTGGTTTGTTAGTTTTTTGTTTTGTTAGGTTGTTAATATTAATCCCCCATTTCAGATTGAATGAGGAATCAATAGAGAAAACTTTTTAGTTTTTAAAGTGGTTTGAGAAGAGGAATTAGATAAAAAGTTATAAGTTGGTATTGCAACACTAAGACTAAGTAACTTGCCGAGGTAGTCTAGAAATAACGTTACTATGGAAAGTTTTCAGTTGAAACATTACTTCTCAACATGTTGAGCTGTCCTACGTACAGGCCCTAAAATTTAATTTAATTGATTTATCCATCTACTGTTTTTGCATACTGTAGTTCTGCTTCTCATTGTGGTCTGTGCATATGCCTTCATGGGTCAAAGATATTTTTGTAATAAAAAATTGCTTGGAAGTTGTTTTCCTGAGATGTCTGTTGCACTGATTTGACAGCATTTATAGTTAGAATAGTACCCACAGTCCACAATAACAAGGCATCCTCGTAGCCTTATTGGCATTATTTTATAATTGCTGAGGCTACTTTAAACTATTAAATCACACTATTAAATCAGAGATATATGAAATGTAGGGTGTTTTCTTGAAGTGTCAGCTGCTACCTTCATACACGGTTCTCCAGTCTTTCTCCTGTGGCAAACATTCTTTCTGTAATTTTCCTCTTTTTTAATTTTATGCCTCTTCAATTTTCCCTCATTCCTCTCTCTAGCTGTAAATTGGTGCGTTTGTTACTTATATACTTGCTAATTTTTTCTTTGGTTGCCATTTACCAGCTCCAAGTGTTTCCGTTATAGCTTCTGAAGAGAAATGTAGAATCATAGAATCATAGAATCACCAAGGTTGGAAAAGACCTAAAAGATCACCCAGTCCAACCGTTCACCTATTCCCAATAGCTCCTACTAAACCATGTCCCTCAACACAACATCCAGTCTTTCCTTGAACACCCCCAGGGTCGGTGACTCCACCACCTCCCTGGGCAGTCCATTCCAGTGCCTGACCACCCTTTCTGAAAAGTAATACTTCCTCATGTCCAGCCTGAATCTCCCCTGCCGTAGCTTGAAACCATTCCCCCTGGTCCTATCACTAATGACACGAGAGAAGAGGCCGACCCCCAGCTCACTACAACCTCCCTTCAGGAAGTTATAGAGAGCAATGAGGTCTCCCCTGAGCCTCCTCTTCTCCAGGCTGAACATTCCCAGCTCCTTCAGCCTCTCCTCATATGGCCTGTGTTCCAGACCCCTCACCAGCTTCGTTGCCCTTCTTTGAACACGTTCCAGGGCCTCAATATCTTTCTTGCAGTATGTAAATACATATACAGTCTTTCACCTTCTATAAGATTAATAAATTGCATGGTATTAGCTAGGTAACACTGAATAGTGAATTAGCTAGAAAAAATTTGTGGAATATCCCAGATATTATGGCTGGAATACAGCTTGGAAAAAATGTAAAATGTTATTATGATTTTCTAGATATTTTCCAAACGCACCATTTCAATTTTTACTTTTTACAAAAACATTTCCAATCTGAAACAGAGCATGATTTTCCAATATACTGAGGGAGAAGGATGGCAGTATGCTTCATTTCAACTGAGTGAAATAATCTGAGCTCACTGAAATCAAATATTTTCATATGAGAAATTTTGTTTGGCTATAAAATGAAAAAATCCGTTATTTTAAATGCTTCATTTGTGGTGTTAAATTTTATCTTAGATATAAAAATCTTTTTCTAGGTGTTGTAAGAGGAGAATTTACCCTAAATTTGCTGATTTGCTAGCTTTTGCCAGAAGTGTGCTATACGTTTCTACTGGTTTTATTTTTCAGGAGCAGTATTTGTAATGCATACACATTCTTACCATCAGATGAGAGTTTTTTGTCCTCAAGCAAAATATTTTGCTTTGAAAATCAAGCAATTAGATAAGTGAGAGAGAACTGCTTACTTCATTGATTTGTATAAAAATAAGACTGTTCAATTTGAAGAAATTGAAGGTTAAATAAAGATCAGAGTCTGTTTATGAGCACCGAATTCTTTCCCTAAATTCTGTTAGCCTTAGAAGAGAAAAAAACACCACAGCAGGATGGGGCTGATATTTCCAATAAAGCTATACTAAATGGCAATACCTCTGTAGTCCCTACTCTGAAAAGTGTAATATGTGCCAACTACTGAAGCAAAGGAAAGAAGTTTCTGTTAGGTAAGATAAATGAATGCAGACTACTAATTTATCACTGACCTCCTAAAAAGTCAAAATGTTTTTCCAGAGCTGGAGATTGAAGATTCTCTTATATATCACTTTTGAAAAATACATCAACCTGTATGTAACATCACTGCCCTTTTCAAAAGGATATTTTGAACTGCTTTGGGCCTGCTTTTACTTCAAAGTGAAAAACTGGTGTTCAGATTGCTTTATTAGTGATTCCGAGTGATTCAGGATTCATTTCCTTTCCTCATAATGGTGCTTTGCCAACACCAGATAAGCCTGGAGCAGCTTTGATGTGGATGAGCTGTTTGCCTTGCCCCTTCCTCACAAGTTTGACTCATGCAACAGCTGAAGAATGCAGCTTTTGGATGACTGTGAGGTTCTCAAAGTGTTTATTGATAGAGCCAAATTCCTGTAGGCCAGGAAGTCCTAAGCTTTTCACACTGTCACTACTTTTCCTCTTTGGTTTTTACTGATAACTTTGGCTTTTTGTCTCCCCTCTGGAGCTGCAGTCCTGTCCCTTTTCCATGTGTGATACCTTCTCCTGCCACCCTCAGCCAGCAACAGTGGCTGTCACTCCATGTCACGGGTTAAGAAGGCATAGTGCAGATAGATCTTTATCATCCCTTCAGGGATGGAGTGTCTTAGCTAAGGCACAAGATTCACTCAGAGGGTGGTGAGGCACTGGAACAGGTTGCCCAAGGAGGCTGTGGATGCCCCATCCCTGGAGGCATTCAAGGCCAGGCTGGATGTGGCTCTGGGCAGCCTGGTCTGCTGGTTGGTGACCCTGCACATAGCAGGGGGTTGAAATTAGATGATCATTGTGGTCCTTTTCGACCCAGATTGTATGATTCTGTCCATTTCCTCTTATCTGACCATGACAAAGTGATTCATCATATTTTGCAAATAATAACTTGGGCCTACTACTATGTACTCAATTCTTCTACAGCCCTTTTCATACGAAGACTTTTATTTCACTGTTTATTTGCATTGGTTTGTGTGTAGTAACAACATACCTAGCTTTAAATGTCATATATTAACAAAACTAAAAGTACTGTTTTTCTGGCCTGCTTATAAACAGCAGTTGGAAGCTCCCCATGAAGAGCTGTTGTCTGATGCTTTGCACAGCGTGGAAACAGAGTTGAGGAAACTTGCTGAGATACCTTGGCTTTATTATGTTTTTCAGCCAAATGATGATGAGGTGAGTTTGATTAATACTTCCTGTTTCTAATTGGAATTATTTTTCTGTTAAGAGGAAAGAGTAGATTAGACTCCTCATAATCTAGAGATGCAGTTTCAGTAATGATGCTGTCTACTGTGAGCAAGTTTCTAAGCATAGGGCATATTTTTATTACATATTTTTCTCCCTCCTTGAAAATGTTTTGAATGGTCATTTTGGAAATGAAACGGGTATGGAAATAAATCCTGATATAATGCTTTACAGAAGTAAAATTTGGTCTTAGTTTTTGAGATTAACTATGAATTACTGTCTCAAGTATGCTATTTAATTTAAAGTTAAAAGTTAATTAAAAGTAACTATGTCTATTCTTTCATGTAGGATCCCCCTCTGGATTATGCTAAAAGAAACAACAGAAGTACAGTGTTTCGCATAGTGCCAAAGTTTAAAAAAGAAAAAGTTCAGAAGCATAAGACCAGCCCTCAGCCTGGTATGTGTTCTGAAATTACAACAAAAATAGTTGCATTTGAGCAATATGTAATTTTGTGTTTAGGTGGGCTATTTTCTTCCTTTTATTTTTATTTTTATTTTTTTTCGGGGGGGGGGGGGGGAAAAAATTGAAATGCTGTACTCCATCAAACTGAAAACTCTTGACCCTGATAAAGTAAAAGGCAGCTGAACTAACTTCTATTTTCATTAGGATGAAGATTTCCTTCAGTGAGTTTAGAAAGCATTCAGTAGCATCCTAAGACTTTCAGATGAGCCAAAGAACTATTGCACAAATATTTAGATAGCAACTATTTTTGTCATGAAACAGGACCTGTGTCTTCACTGATGGTTACGGCTGATTAACTAAAAGTAATACAAGCCATACATAAACACATCATTTCCCCATGAAGCTTCAATTCAGGTTTTTCAGGTAAATTTCAGGAGCTGTGTAATGCCTTTATCACACTGGTTTAATTAACCAGTTATTCTTAAATTTCAGATGAATTTGAGTTCAGTAAGTTGGGCAAGTCAAACAAAAAGCCATGATAGCCAATATTGATCTTTTAATTAGTGGAAGCTGAACAAACTCCACTCTCCTCTCTTTCCTCTGTTATCCATGAGCTTAATTCTTTAATATTATGTCCAGGAGTTAATCAGTGATCAAATGATCCTAAAATTGTTTCTGCATCTTCGTGTTTTTAATGGACAATCTGCAAAATTTGCAAAATTTTACCATTGTTGATTAGTCTTCTAGATTTCAGATTAGACTTCAGATTCATTTCTCTGCAAAACTAAATCAACATTGGATGATGTGGCAAAATTTTACCAATAAGTAGCATAGCTGTTTTTTAGGACTAATGTGGGCAACTAACCTTAGAGAACAATGTTATACAGAGAGCTTATTCGTGGCCTGTGTAACACAGTAGCTTAAAGAATACTTGTAGCATTAATTAGTACTATAAAGTGTTAATTAAAACTGAACTTGCTTGCTGCCATTGCTATATATGAAGTGTGGTTTATGTATTAATTTTACCTGTTGATTAGCTTTTGAAGGCTTTCTGCTCTCCCTGGATGATAACTAATACATTAATGGCATAAAGAAGAACAACATTAGATTTTGCGTCACTGATCCTAAGATGGTTTGATGTGAATTTGTAGAGACATGAGGTTTTAAAGGCTTTACTGAAGAAACTGTAGTAAAGCTGAAAGCATGGCTGCAAAGCAAAGAGCCCCAACTTTGTTTAGATACTTTCTCATGTTAACTGCTAACCTGTAACCTGCATGTAAAAAGGAAATTGTCGTTTTTTTTCTGGAAATGACACTTCTAACCTTTCCCTTCGCTAGCACGGCAATTCTACTCTGTTTTCCATTCTCTTTGGCCTAACCTTTGCTTGTAATGCATTTGAGCATGTAGAAATTAAGGGGGTTTTGCTCTTAACTTTGGTAGTTCAAAAATGGGGCACAGATGAAGTTGCTGCTTGGCTGGATCTGCTCAGTTTGGGAGAGTACAAAGAAATCTTCATCAGCCATGACATCCGAGGCTCTGAGCTTTTACATCTGGAAAGGCGAGATCTTAAGGTATTTCCTTTGTGCTACTTTTCTGCTATTGACCATTTTCTTTGACAAAACAACAACCAACTTTTCTTCTTTCCCTGCACTTTTTATATGCTTTTAGCTTGGCTTACACTGTGCAAATATGCAATAAACTAATATGCGCTGTCCTTTGGCCTGAATTTCTTAGTGCTGAGTTGTAATTTGTAACCAGAAATACCTGTGTTATGAGAGATTTCCTTTTTACACCTTATGTAGAATGACAGCATTATAATTTATGTCATAGGAAAAGCGTGCTGATACCTTACTGACATCAGTGTAATACAAAGTTATCTTCAAGAGATCACTGTTTCCACTAATCAGGATCAGTATGGATCAGTTTCTTAAGCTGGTGTGATGATTTTGAATATATCTCCTGCAAGGTCAGCAGCTGCAAGCAGCTGACCTGCTTCAAGTGGTTTATTGTGCATAAACTGGATAAAGTAAATTAATAAATGATGGCATTGGACGTACATGGCATTGGCATTTGTGCATCAGAGTTGACTTTCACAGTTGCATTTCTCATTGCCACCCAACCTCTTTCTGCTTTTAGCTATATAGATTTAAAAAAGAATGTTTTCTTTTGTCTTTCTGATTACCTCAGAGTTTAGCAGAGAGAAAGACTACCTAGCAATCTGAGATGGTTATTTGAGCTTGCTGGTCTTTTTCAAGAGTGATTTAAGTGCATCCATTGTATGTAATAGTGGCCATATCTTTGGGGATTCATTACATTAGTTTTTCCTGGAACTCAGTGGTAATGAGTTCTTGATAATGTGTTTTGCAACTGCTTTTAGCATATCAGAGAGGAAATAGGATACTGTATAAATGGCAAACATTTACATTTAGAGTGCAGGTCATCATTCTAGCCACAGTGCTGTAGTCTCCAGATGTGGGCAATACCTTCATGCAGATTAGCCATTTTTTGTAAAGTTTCTTACAAAGTTGGCAGTCCTGACACTATAAGGTAGTGCTTGCATTCTGTGAGAGTTGCAGTAGAATGCAGCTGCTGATGTGTCTGATATGATGTGTTTAGTTGTTGCATATTATTTCTCCTTTTGGTTCTAGATCACATAAGCTTCTTTCTGTGGAAGCTAAATTCCTTTCTTTCAGGATTGTACAAGATAACCCCTTAATGCAGAATACTGCATGGCAGTCCCTCCAGGCAAGCAACCCTAATGCTCCAGTGATGCATATTACACTTAAAGTTTAACTGGGAAATTTAGCATCATACAATGCAAAATTCTGCTAAAATGTTAAGGAATGTTTATAAAAATACGATATCAAGTTTGTTGAAATGAAACAAATAGAATAGTTCAGTTGGTAATCAAGTTAAGATAATCAAGTTCAACTGCCAAAGATGGTGGTTAAGACCAATGTTAAACTGAACTGAACATAAATAACAGAATATAGCACTCATCCTGCTCATTACATCTGGATCCTGATCTCTGCAGGTAGATAATTAAGGGTTGCTCAGGAGTCCTGCGTTTTTCTGACCAGTGACCTGGACTGGCGTCAAGGTAGAATGTGATATGTAGAACAAGAGGTCAAGATGTCACCAGCTGCCCTGCTAAATTTTTCTCCATTTTTCTATCGAGATGTGCAGATGAGTCTTCAGTGCTTCTGTGAGCAATACTCTACCTACAGCCTCTCCTCCAGTGCAAGGCTTGTGCTTTCTTGCCAGATTAATTGGCATAGTCATCGATTGACAGTCTCTCAATCCATGTGCAGCATTTACCCCAGTGACCTTTCAGGTCTATGACAGGAAAAATAGCTGCTCATATTAATTAAATCCGTTGGGCTCACCTTTCTATCTGTGTCAGAAGTAGAAATGAAAAGCAGTAAGGAGAAAGAGTTGATGAAACTCTCTTCCTTTGCAAGTGTCACTGAAATAGATTGATACTTTAGCTGAAGAATTGGGTAGGATGTCTGTCTTCATATTCCTGCATAGCTTGTGGACCTATTCCAAGTTACTGTATGTGTGGCAGATGGCAAATGTTTGAAAACGAGGAACCGGATACCTCTGTCCATCTATTCCCTCCAATAATACCCTTTCTCTAGTCTCGTATTCATGATTTTAGTTAGGGCAATCTTAGACTTTTGCAATATTTGATTTTCTTTCCATTGAAGAAGGCCTGGAAATTGTGAAATGTGCTGTAGAAAATACAGCAAGAGGCTCATTGCGATTATTTTTAGCCTTCTTTCATGATTAAATTCATTGGAAACTAGACTCTAAAGTAGATGCTGTCATTCTTACCATTGACAGCTTGTCTCTATATGTACAACTTAGTAATAATCAGAACTGCAACACATTTGCTTGGACTAGGGTGATGTTTCCTTAGAACTCTACAGCAATGTTGTCTTCCATTAAGGTTTTCCATGTCTTTTGTCAGCTTAATGAGGAGTGGAAGGCTAAGAGTATGCTGAGGACTGGGAAATCTCATCTATGTCTTTTATAGTATCACTTTAAAGAAAAGTTCTTGCATGGAAAATGGTAAGATTTACTAGACTGTAGGAACTTGTGATGTCCTTTGACACTGGTTGTGCCACTAGGGTAGGTTCTAATCTAGAAGATGTCAAATAGTAAGCCCTACTTATATAAAATGCTTGGTAGCTCTACACTGGTGGTATGTTCTACCAGCAACATCTGTGGGGCAAACCAGGAATAAACGGCTGTTGGCTAAGCAGACAGAGGGCTAATCACTATTATGTGATGCAGATGAAAAACTCCGTCAAGCTGTTGCAATAGTTTTTATCAGCTTTTTCTTTCCCAACGTTTTTGTGGTTTCGTTTTGTTTTGTTGGTTTTTTTGTTTTTTGTTTTTGAAGATATTTTGATCTTTCCCTGCTGAAGACAATAGAGATGGTTAAATTGGGTTGGGAGAGCATATGGAGAGGTTATCCTGTATTTTTAAGGCCATAGCTAGGAAAAAAAAAAAAACAAAAAACAAAAAACAGGCTGTTTTCTTTCTCATACTCTGGCAAGATATCTTTGGAGATCATTTTTTGGGAGATGCATGGAAGGCTTTTGTAGCAGACCTTTCTAGCCTGAGATAAGGGAATTTCTGCAGACTTCCCCAGATCAGTAGTAAACTGAGATAGCTTCTAGTGTCGAGAATACATAACTCCTAATTTCCTTCAAACCAGTCTATTACACAGACATGGAAATTCAGAGATTGGGGGGTTTTGTTTGGTTGTTTTTTTTTGTTTTTTTTTTTTTTTGTGACATAATTTAGCATAAATTGTGGTAAATCTCTTGAGATTTGCTGCTCTCATCTACATAATAGCACGTTCAACTAAGATGGAAACAAAACTCTCTACTCACTGTAGCATAGGCATTGTTGATGACACTTTGTGAAGGCTGGTGGAAAAAGAGGCTTGGTTTTCTGGGAATTTTATAATATCAGATCTTTTTTCTGATCTTTGAAGTCTGACAGTACGTTGCTATGTTGCTTATCCAATAGTTCTACTTATGAGAACTGTTCTGAAAGATTTGGAAGTTCTTAAACTTACGTATATGTGGCTTCTTGCAGTTTGGAATGTGTCCTACAGGTTTTACATTGGATGGAATTTCTGCCACAGAGCAGCAGGGGAATTTCAGTAGTTTCAACACTCTTGCATGCTTTTGAGTCTTTGGAAAATTCAGTTTAGCATAAATAAGAAAACATTCCCCAGCACCAAATTCACGATGAAAAAAGTTAACGTCATTGTTGGATGAGTTTAACAAGTTTGCCAATTCTCTTAACTTAAAATGAGTGCTACTTTATAGTTAACTATTTTATTTTTCTCCACAAACTGATGTGAATATGCATTAGTGGAAACAAAATATAAATGCAATATGGAAAAATCAAGTATTTTTTTTCTGATAGCTTTATGAACAGCACTTGGTTTGGGGACTCGAGCACATTGTGAACTCTTTAATATTGACACCTTTGTGCCAAAGTGCTGTAACGAATGTTGGTGTATTGAAGTTATTTACACTTTTCTTCTGAAATAACAACCAGGTTTTTTTTTTATCTCTAACATAACAAGAGTTCAGCCTTGACTCTGAAAATTAATGCGCCTGTTTAATCTATGCTTTTACCCCAAAATAATTAATTCATGCCAACCTTTTCTTGCTTTGATGAAATGCAAATGCAAAGTGAATTGCACACTTTTAAATAATGTGCACTGCAGGTTTTCTGAGGTTTCTGTGACTGTAGAAGGGTAGATGCAGCCTTTATGTAAGCTTTTCAAAGAACGTTCCATATAGTTTCATCTTTTATTCTGTATGAAAACAATTATTTCAAGCCATTAATTCAACTCCATTCCTTTTTATGTCTTCATAATGGAAAAGTCTCCTACTAAAATGAAAGGATTTTTATTTCAGAGGGATAGGTAGAGAAATTTGTTCAGACTTTTCTTTAATCATGGTCTGTTTAGGTAAGGTTTATTCTACAAATTACTATACTGTTTGAATTCACCACTAGCTCAACATGACCAACACAAGGATTTTAAAGAGTTTTCAAAGCTGGGTTTGACAGACAACAGAAGCAAGTTTTCACCAACATCAGATGAAAATTCATTAGCGCAGTTGGGGATCATTAACACAGCTGGGCATTCTGTTCTGTTTCTCTGACTATCGGACCAAGTAAAAATAGGAGAAGAATGTTCTCTAAGCTGTTACTAATGCTGGAAGAGTTTTGCTGCAAGAATTTCTTGCCTGTTGTCACTTAGGCAAAGATGGGTCCAAGAAACTGATATTAGAAATACTTCAACTGATATGTTTGTGTGAGTGGTGCCTGAAAGAGATCTGCATTTGTGTTTTTACCATTTCCTTTGGGATGTGACAATCATGTCTATGAGAAAATTTTTTCCAGCTCTCTAATCATCAAGGCAGTCCACGTTAGGAGGCTGAACCATTTTAGAATGAAAAAGAAATGCTTACCTTTTCAATTGCTCTCTGAAGGGAAGTTGTCCTACATGCCATTACATCTACTTTCACTTGAGAAACTGGGGATGTGTGTGCTATTTGCTTCAGACAGACATCATAGGGCCACAGATCAAGTAACAGAGCTGGACAGAAGCTCTAATCCATCTCATCCTACCAAGCATTTGATTACTGCATTAGAGAGGAGGGGGAGATTGTTCATTTTTCTAGAAATTACGAAGAGACTTGTACTTAGAAATCAAGCAAAAGATGTTTCTGAAAAATTGTAATACTTTCATTTATATGGTTATTGCAGGTAAGTAATTTTCAAACAGAGATACACTGTGTGCTGTAAGCATTTTCTTAGGTGACATTTGCTAGAGCCATAGATTATTTTCAAGTTAATGTTGATTATGGTTAGCACATTTCTAGACATCTTTTGCATGGTTAGATAATAATCATGGCCTTTAAAAAAAAAGAAAAAAAAAGTAAATAACTTTTCTTCTTTTTCTCTCCCTTTTTTTCTTGATTTCTGTAGGACCTGGGGATAACGAAAGTGGGTCATATGAAGCGAATTCTCCAGGGAATTAAGGAGCTCAGCAAGAACACCCCTTTGTCTGAAGTGTAATTGTGCTGGTGCTCTCAGAAGAGAGGGAACATTGCTGGAGAAGCAAAGCCGTTGCAGGCACTTGGCTGTCTTTGTAGTTTACTGTATGGAAGAATAAGCGCTAGCGTGTTCGTACAGGCTAGCATTGCCCAGTACTTGTGTGGTGAAGAGCTTGTTGCAAGAGCATAAGAGAATTTGTGCCAAAAGAAAAAAAAAAAAAAAAAGAAATGGTTATGCATTCTGTGAAGGAGTTTTCTTGGTGTTCACACTTGGCCAGTTCAGATAAGCACATTTTGGTAAATCAGTTGATGGTGAACTGCACTGACTGGAAAATATATCAAGAAACGATCGCTTTGCTTACATGCAGCTCAGTATGCCTCTCTCTTACAACGCAGCAAGATGCCGCCGTACAGCACGAGGTTGTCTGGTTGCCCTTCCTGGGCACAGATCCCCTACAGCTTCCTGTGCAGGGGCCTGAGAGGTGGCCGCTTCCGAGGTTCCACACGCGGGTCTGGCAATGCCTCAGGTACCAGGCGCTCACGGGCCACGCAGGATGGGGAAAGATACCTTCTTGTACTCTGAATGCCAACTATAATGCATGGTGTGCCTGCCTGACTTGTCTGTCATTCTGTTGCATGACATATCTGATACTTTAAACACTTGAACAACTTTTATATCGGTTTGAATGAGAATTAATTTATTACTACTTGAGTGTCCTTTTTCGGTTCCAGGCACTTTTCTATTCTTCAGTGTTGTGTTATTCCTAAATGAGTTCTATGGCAAAGGATGTGTGAGTGTGGAAACTTAAGCATTTGTGCCATATTCAGCAAGTTGTATGCATTATATATGATTGGGACATTGTACAGTTAGATTTTTAAATATACCATGTACAGAAGGTGTATCAGGTAACTAACTTATGAGTATTTTTGAAAGATCAGTACCTCACAAAAATATCAGTTGGCTTCCTGCATGGAAAATGATAAGGAATTTTCTCATGGTGCATTAAATGTAGTTATCCAGTTATCTTAAACATCCGTAGCATATCGGAGCTTTTAGGAACTAATGGTTTTATTTATTCTGCTGTGCAAAAAGCAGGTTGAAAGATTAACGAGAATTTCTTACAGGAAAATTCGATTTATTTATCACGCATAAGTAAGGAAAGTGTTAAAATGTAGCAGCTGATTTGATTTTTGTGGGGTCAGCTTATACTCATTACTAATATACTATTAATTTAAAAAATTGTATGCATTTCTTTACAGAGGCATCAATTTGTTTGTCAGCACTCCTACATCAGTAGATCATAAAAAAATTAAGAGAATCTGAAGTTTTACACTATGCATGCAAATACGATTCACATGCAAACTAGTAATCTGTGAGTGTTATAAGGTTAAAAATGAAAGCCATCTTTGTTTAGTAATTGCATTAGACTAGAGTTTATAAGGCTATTTACAATTTACTTAAACAAAACATAGCTTCATAATTGAATTTCTGGTTAATTTCTCACAAAGTATTAATCTAGTAGAAAAATAACATACATAATATCTAGGGGTTAAGACACACAGAACCTGCTTCAGTGGCTGAGATGAGATGATACTGCATCACATGCCAGAGAACTTGCACAGAACTGCTTGTCTTGCTGTTCTGATCAGTGCAGCTTTCCCACCCCAGGAACTCTTGATTTATGCTTTATTGAGTATCTTTGTCAATTCTTACAAGTTAACAACCACGTTAATATCTATTTCTGTTTTCCTAGTAGACAGCAGAGTAAGGTTTCATTTGTTTTGCCGAAGGCTTTTCCTTACTTAAAGGGGACAACGCCAAGTACCACAGCCAGATTTTGTCCTCCATTTCTCAGGAGGATGGTGAGATTCATCCCTTGGGAAGTCAGATGTGCTCCCCTCATTGTTCTATTGCAAGTAAAGTTAAAAAGGAGGAAGGCAAGCTTTGTTTATATCCATTTATAGTACTGCACGTTCTTGCTGCTGTAGGTTAAACCGTCACCGCTCTGGGAGCTTTGTGGACATAATTCATTGTTCTGGTCAACAAACAAAAGTAAACGGCAATGCTCCATTAGTTTTTTGGTTCAGAAAGAAGAAACAAAAGCCATTCACCAAGTGACATTATTTTCATGCTGTTGTATTAAAAGCATATACAAACAATGGAAAGGTTTTTTCTTTCGTGTACTTGACGTTGACCCCTTTAATGATGCCCAAATGTCATCTGCCGAGTCTTCACAAGTTACGTGTCCTTTTCTCTTTGTTTCCTTGTAAGCTAAGCTATATTTTAATGTGTGGCGCGATTCTGATGTGTCAGTGTTGTGGTTGATGATGTAGTTAGTCCTCCTGGTCAAGTTGAGGACATAATTCGTGATACTATTTTCTTTGCTTTCCTGATTCACTCTCCCCATAGCTTTCAGTCTTGCTATCTGCACTGCGGTAAGATGGGCTCTGGAACAGGATTGAGTTAAGGCCATGTGACGACAGCTATAAAGGCCTACACAGTTTTAAAAAAAAAAAAAAAGGGAGATGCTTTTAGGCAGGAAGAATGACAAAGTGTTGTTTTGGAATGCAGCTTTCTTATGACACTCTTCAAATTACCTCAGTGTAGGACAACTTGTCTTTACAAAGTTCCATTATTTTAAATGATCACCAAAGAATTCAATTTTGATTGTCCTAAAGCAGAGGGGTTTTTTAAAAAGTGCAAGTAGAAAAAGTAGTTTAGGCAACAGTTATGTTTTATTTAATAGACGTCCGAGAGAGCACGTTTCATGCAACTCTATGCCTTAGAATAGTTTTGAATATCAGTTCCAAATGCGTTGGACAAGGAGGCTCAAAATATCTTACAGGATTTCTCTGTTGAGGTCGTGTTTTGTATCTGTGTTATGAGATGTGGCTTTTGTCAAGATTGATTTTTGAATGCAATGTTACTATCTCGTGATTATTGTAGATTTACAAGTATGGTTTTTTTCCCTACTGCTCTCAAAGTCCCAACTCCCAGAACTGAGGACACATGCAGTTTCATTTTTAACACACAGAATTTTTACGATTTAATCTCGATGCTTAAAGCACTTCAAAGCATACTTTCTAACATTTCATAGAATCATCATAGAATCATAGAATGGCCTGGGTTGAAAAGGACCATAAAGATGTGGCTCTGGGCAGCCTGGTCTAGTGGTTGGCAACCCTGTCTGTGGGAAGGGGGTTGAAATGAGATGATCTTTGAGAGCCTTTTCAACCCAGGCCGTTCTATGATTCTGTGATCATCTCGTTTCAACCCCCTGCTATGTGCAGGGTCGCCAACCAGCAGACCAGGCTGCCCAGCCACATCCAGCTTGGCCTTGAATGCCTCCAGGGATGGGGCATCCACAGCCTCCTTGGGCAACCTGTTCCAGTGCGTCACCACCCTCTGTGTGAAAAACTTCCTCCTAATATCCAACCTAAACCTCCTCTGTCTCAGTTTAAAACCATTCCTCCTTGTCCTTTCTCTATCCATCCTTGTAAATAGTCGTTCCCCCTCCTGTTCATACACTCTCTTCAAGTACTGGAAGGCCACAATGAGGTCTCCTCAAAGCCTTTCAATACAAGGAAGGTAAGCAACTTCCCTTGAAGTAGTTAATTTTCTGGAAAACTAGTTATCCCAGTAGCTTTTGTGGAGGCTAATTCAACATGCTAGATTCAAGACAAAAATCACTATCCAGTCCTCACTGGATTCATTTTTTTCCGTAGTCTAACACAACTCTACTGTCTGTCAGTGTACCTTAAAATCTATGAAAGCAATGCCAAGCAATCAGCATTTTTTTGAAGTGGATGGTATTCATAGAATCATAGAATCATAGAATGACCTAGGCTGAAAAGGACCACAATGATCATTTAGTTTCATGTAGATGAATGTGCTCGACTTCAAAAAGAAGAGGAGAAGCAGGTTGTAAAAAGGCAGCGCATTGCTCAGAGTGCTTTTGTTTTTCATCATTTTCCTATAGATTTTTCCAGCTAATTGCATTCAGGTGTCTTAGCAGCTTCTTATTTGGGTGATACAAATATTGCCTTGTAGTACATAATGCCTTCTTTTTAGAAACTGGATCACATCAGCCAACTGTGTGTTTTTAGGTTTTTGGTGTTTATTTTTGTTTTACAGTACTTTAAAGAAAAGCTTGTGCAAATTTTTTTTTTTTATAAGATGGCAATTGAAAATTTTATTCATGATATATTTTTATGTATTTGCCCTTAAGCAACATTTTTTCTCCCAAACACCAGCTTCTGTCAAAGAAAAATATATTAAACTTATGGAAGAACAGAATGGAAAGCAGGTGTTCAAAAACCCTCCACGACTATTCCTAAGGATTCCTTACTTTGGGACTGGAGTAAATACCTTTGGGTCCTCTAAATAATAAATAGAAAACATCCTTCTTTCTCCATCCCTGCCCAAAGAAATTCAGACTGAAATGTTGTATAATTGTAATTCAGGCAAGAGGAATTGATTTTTCTTTTTTATTATGGCATATTTTGTATTTTCCTGTGCTCTTTGTATGGAAATACAAAACCTGCCAGTTTTTACTCTTTAATTGAACTCACTGATACTAATTCACTTAATGAAAAAGTCATAATGCCTTGATAATGCATCTTACTATGGGGTTAAATAATCCATGTTTCTTATTGCATCTAGCTTTCTTTTGTAGAAGACTGGAACCTTTCCACACGTAATATAAAAGTAATGTAGAAAACAAATAGGAGATGAAATACAGCAATGTTGCCTTTAAAATAAATTTAGAACTCTATATTGTGCATAGATAATTCCACAGTGGATATGTAAGAAAAAAACCTCCAGACCCCAGTGATTCCATTTTGCTCAATGTTTGCTATTAAGGATTGCATTACTAATGTTTAGTGCTCTTTTTCCTTTGCTCTCCCCATGCCCCTGAGTATTAATTTATTGCATACAAGTTTGACAGTTCTGGTAACTAATAATTAGCAGTGTAAAGTCTATTTGTGAAAGTTAATGTTACAAGCAATGCATGTTGTTGAGGAAAACAGTGCTGGAGGAATATATTCTGCTTACAGCTAGGAGATCATCTGTCACTTGTGTAAGTGAGAGCCACAGCAAACTGCATGAAGTTTTTCTTTTATTTTTTCACCCCAATGTACCTCTCAACTGCATTGCTCTGAGTGTCACATTCGTGCCACGGGCTCTCCCATTTTTTGGTTGTTTTCTTAGATTCTGTGTTTTGTGGTATGATTTTCATATCATCAATTGTGATGCTGCTTATGCTCACTACTAAGATCTAACGTTTGCAGGAACTGCACGTGATTGTATGTTTGTCTTAAGCAAAAGGAGTTTTTGATCACCTTAGGAAACCGAGGAGTTTGGACAAGACTTAAACTCTTCCTGCTGCCTCTTCATAGTTGAATGGTAGTGTCAGCAGGATTGATAGAGCATCACGTGGTAATTATCAGCTGAAAAACTTCACTGGTTGCATAAAGTCCTCTACTTATATTGAGAACATAGTGTGCAACTCAATCTTTTTTACAAAAGGAGAAAAAAAATTCTACTTTTTACTACTGTTGCATTAGGTTAAAAAGCTCTGTTAATGGGTAGCTTATGTACTTGAGATGCTCATTTCTGCCACACAGAAGCCCAGACTGCTCTCACAAAGCAGTCCAAAGTATTCCATTTGGAAGCCATCTGGAGAGTTCCAGGAGGCTTACAACCATTTAGAGCTAATACCAATGTTTATTGTGACTTTCCTAGGCTTAATGTGTTTGCCCTCAAGTTTATAAGCAAAGGGAATGTTTTTGAAAGTTGCATTTTTGAAGTCTTTGGAACTAAACGTAAAATTCTATCATAGAATCGTGGACTCATAAAATTATTTGAGATGGAGGGGACCTTTGAAGATCAGTTAGCCCAACTCTCCTGCAGTGAACAGGGATATATCATCCTTTGTTATCACTAATAGTAATAATAATAATAATAAAATATTAGCACTATTAAGACATTGGCAAACCAGCAAAACTCTGGCAGCTATAGACCTGAGACTATTCTTGGTCAAATTGCAATCAATTCAGCTGCAGTGGTTAAAGAGCTTCCACCTTCAGAGCAATCAGCAGAAAATGTGTATATTTATGTGCTTTAATGATAAAAATCTATTGCAAATAATCAAAAAACTTCTCTCCCAATTGACACCACATTTTTAATATAA